GGTGGGGCAAATCTAAAAATAGCTCTGGGCGGACACTCACATTATGTGGAAAAACCGCGTTAAGTGAAAGTTCAGCTCTGGCGAGGTACATTATCTTGTTAAAAGCGGCTAAGTGAAACCGCATAAAGGCGGTAATACTGTGTGTATATATATATATATATATATATATATATATATATATATATATATATATATATATATATATATATATATATATATATATATATATATATATATATATATAATATATTATATATAATATTAGATAAAATTTGCGGGAAAGAACAACGGAGCACCTAGGCTTTAGTCTTTATGCAAGACATCTTCAGAGCAACTTGATCACATGGACAGAGAGAGGCTTAAATATACTGGGGTGACCTTAAAACATGAGGTCAGGTCATAATGATGTCTTCACTAATCCCACACCAACACACACGTAGGGGCTTGAGAGATGGGGGGTGGCGTGACTAGTCAGGTCGGGTCAAAATGGACCACTAGTAACTATCATACATCTAGATCAAAGGTTTTCAAAGCATTTTTAACCTTGGGTACTGACAAATAAATTTGTAACATATCAGTTTTAACTGTGCCATCACTGAGGTTTATTGATTTTAATTCGTGATCAAACTAGCTTCAACCAGAAGTCTTTCTGTGACACAGCAGGGCTGTGGAGTCGAGTCGGTCAGTCGGAGACTTCGAGTAGGAGTCAGTCGGTAAATTGTCAGACTCGACTCCGACTGAAATATTCTGTTCCTAAGAACAAATATATGAACTCAGGCATATTCATTGCAGTGATTCCACTGATCCACTAATTTTCTTAAATTATTAAAAGAATTTATTTCCATTTTATAAGCATTATTATGAATTTATTGTAGCAGGCACAGTATAGCACTATAATTTTGGATGATAGTCTCTTCTTTTACCATTTGAAATTTTGAATTATATCAAATTTTGTTTCGTTGAAAACTGCACAGAGGCTCTCAGCTACAAAACAATTAGCTACAACCTGTTTTTGGTGAGATTAAGGCAAATTTAATTTAATAACTTAATCATGTAAGGTTTATCCATTTTCCTTAATAAGGTATTCATTTCTTTAATGTACATAAATATATAACTTTACTTTAAAAGGAATTGTAGGATCATCATTTAGATCCACATCAGATTATGAGCTAAACAAAATTCATATGCTGAGATCGAACTTTTAGATATACATGTAAATGGTGTTTTCTAGTTAATATCTTGAATTCTTAATAAATTTATTTATTTTTGATTGAAACTTTGAAAGTCAAGCCTATCATCTTTTGTAGTTCTTAAATATCGTCAGATCATTAATAAAGCTGTAGCAGTATAGCCACGGTGTTTTACTTTTTACCTACGCGGGTTACAACATACAAATTACAATTAGGATGGTAGAAATAGTTGTTACAAATAGGCCAAGGAGTGGTCGTCGAAGGTTTTGTCTTCGACTCCACAGCCTGGACACAAGATGATTTAAATACTTCTAAGCTTTTTTCCCAAGCAATGGGATGATTATTATTCTAACATGAACGAACAAAGGCACTGCTTTCAGATGCTGTTCTGATATTATACTTATGTTGTTTGATTCTGAGGCTGCAGTGTTTTCCTGTCTGTCCTACATAATTACAATTACATTTGCTACATGGAATACAATAAACACTTCCATTTACAGTCAAACTTGGGCTATTTCTTTTAACATATTGGTAATGGTTGAGTCATACTTGAAAACAACATTAATATTTAGAAGCTTGAGGGACGAACTAACGGGACAAATTCATTACGATAGGGCAGAGTCAAAATATTCTTAAGTGTGGGAATTTGCCTGGTTTGGAGAGGAATGAAAGGATTTTTAACCCTTTTTAATACATCGACAAAGGCAGAAGGGTACCCGGTTTCTGTGCAATGGAACGAATGTGTTTCAATTCATCGTCAATAAATTCAGGTCAAATCACGCGAACAACTTAAGAACATAGCAGAAAAAACTGACATTTTGGTAGACTCCAGGTGATTCGATTAAAAAGTGAATGAAACTGTCTACCTGTGGTGCTTTCTGTATACCTTAAATTTGTAGTTTTGGCCATTTCTCATGATCGTGTATGTGGAATACTATAGTGCATGTACACTTTACTCTTAAATCACTACTGTAATGTGATACAAGTGATTAATTTTTATCTCTTCTGCAAAATACATGACGTTTATATTAAAATTACAGGTGCTCCCGACTTACAACGGGGTTAGGGACTAAATCCAATTAAGTCCGACATAGATAAAAAAATCAATTTAAAAAAAAATTAAATTTAAAAAAAAATTTGAGGAGTCGGAGTCGAAGGTTTTGTCTTCGACTCCACAGCCCTGGAGAGCAGTACTCCAAGTTAGGACGAATGAGTCTCTTCTAAACTTGAAGCAACTGCTCAGGAGTGAAGTAGCTACAGCATTTGTACAGCATTCCCAGCTTTCAAGAGGCAGCTTTAGCAATGTTGTGGATATGTGGCTTCCATGACATATTAGAGGAAATGGTGAGGCTGAGCATATCTATTTTAGAATTTGGCAGAATGATTGCATCCTGAAATGAGATTAGTGGGAGATCTTCTATTTTGGAAAGTGTAATTGGTAAATTCTGTGTTTTATTACTATTGAATTTAACCAAATTTCTACCTCCCCATTCGGAGATGCTGCACAGATTCGTATTGATAGATGAAACGATATCAGCTCTAAAAACAGATCTAGTTTGAGAATTAGAGGAAAGGGAAAAATAAGAAGAAAAGTGAAGAGTAGATTCATCAGTGTAAGAATGGATAGAAATAGTAATAGTGAGAAGTAAATCATTGATATAAATGGAAGAGAGTAGGTGAAATAACAGAACACTGTGGAACACCACTATTGGTAGAGAAAGAGCGAGAGATCGATCCCTTGACAACAACTGCCATGGATCGGTTCTCAAAGAAGCTAGAAATCAGAGAACAAAGTGGGGGAGAGACACAATAAGAGGAAAGTTTAGAAAGCAAAGACTTGTGCCATACCCTGTCAAATGCTTTGGAGATGTTGAGGGCCACGACAAAAGTTTCCCCATAATCCCAAAGAAAGGATGACCAAAGATGGGTGCAGTAGGAGAGCAGATCACCAGTAGATCTCGCCTGGCAAAAGCCATACTAGTGATCCAACAAAAGAGAAAGGCGTTCAAGGTGAGGGAGAAAATGAGAGTTTAAGATAGTTTCGAAAATCTTAAAGAGAGATGAAATTAGTGCAATGGGGCAATAGTTAGAGGGATTAGAATGATCACCCTTCTTCAAGATGGGCTGAACCGAGTCATGCTACCAAAAAGAAGGAAAAGTTTGGGTTTTGAGGCAAAGGCAAAAGAGGCGAGGCAGCATAGGAGCCAGAATTTCAGTACACTCCCTTACTGACATCAAGATTGGATAACACACCAGCACACCCTACGAGAGGAGATTATAGGAAAGTGCATAGGTACAGTAGGAGGAGCAGGAGTTGGAATCGTCTAAGGTGGAGTTAAGAAAAACAGGAGAATAAGGTGCCAAAGAGATTGGCTTTTTCAGAGGGAGAGTTGGCTATAGAGTTATCAGGTCGGAAAAGAGGGAGTGCAGAAGTTATAACATATGTTTTTGGTTAAGGACCAGAAGGATTTACTAGAAGAAGAGTTTGTCAGGTCTACTAAAAAAAATTCATTACCTATTGGCGTGATTTTCTGATCTATTAAGTGCATCCTGAAGTTCGAGGACCTGTGCCATCAGAGTCTCCTGCTCCCTTTTGGCCTGTGTTCGAGCTTCCTCTAGCGCTGCCTCCAGTTGTTTCCGAACCTCTACCTCAGCACTCAGAGCCTGTTCCTGGGCTTCTGCATCTTTTGTTACCGCTGCTCTCTGAAGTTCTGTCATCTCCCTTAATGTTGCATTAAATAGTCGTTAGTTTTCTTTTGTACGAATAAAATTTTTGGCAGTGTCATCAAGTAGTGAATTATCTGGCAGGAAATTGAGTCATACTTCAAACGCACGCACGCACGCACACACACACACACACACACACACACACACACACACACACACACACACACACACACACACACAAAGCATGGATATTGACAGTTCTACAAATATATATCGTATTTGTTCTATAAATCAAAATTCAATTTGAATTTCATATAGATCTATATTTTGATTCCCAATTTAAAAAAAACATTGTAGCTACCTAATGAATTTTCGTCCAAAAAAAATGTGTTAGCCCAACAAATCAAACAGACAAATGTACAGACACAGGAAAGTAGTACTTCTTCCAAGGTAAACTACCAATAATAAACTACAAGAGATCCTGTAACCATCACCATAAGCTTTTGAACAACTAACCTATAAGCAGCATCCAGTGCACCTTTAAGTGCTGTCATCTTGCCTTCTAATTCAGCATTTTCTGCATTTACATCCTTTACCATCTGCTCTAAGCGCTGGTTGGTTATGTTCAGTTGACACACAGCATCAATTTGACGACGTTCCATTTCTTCCTTGGCAGAAAATTGTTTCCTTAGACGTTCTAACTCACAAGACTGTTCCTCAAGCTTGTCTCTGGGTAAGGAATTAACAGAGATGCAGACACAAAACAAGATAAATTAATTCAAATTATTCAATACTATACAGTATACATTTCATGAACAATATTATACTGCATAGCGAAATAGCATAGAACCCCTCAAGAAAATTAATGGCGCCAATGACAGAGAATGAGGTAAAATCTGCTTTAATCTTGATTATGGACAGGAGAGTGTTTGAAATAATGAAAATAAAGAAAACCATAAAATATTACAACAAAAATGGAGGAACGAAGCATCATAACCTATCTAACAGCTGAAGAAAGAGACAAGTGACCTGTGAGGTGCCTGTGTTGACCTTAGGCAGTGATCTTTCTTAACCTAGTTAGAGAACACGATGTCCTGTTGAACATGTACAATTGCTGTATAACCCAGCAATTTTACCCATTGTTCAACATGAGAATACTACAGCTTAGCAAGAATTGACTGAGGGTGTCTTAATAGAGGTATCTCACAGGAGTACTTGTTAATGGCCAGAAGATAAAAAAAGTTCTACACCCAAACATTACCTATGTCAAAATTATTAAAGATAAGTGAATTACAAACTTTTGACTCTTGATAGTAGTTTCATTTTCCTTTTCCTTGCTTCTGAGTTTTTTGATGATGTTGGAGTAACTTAACTGCTGCTTACTGAGTTTCTCTCCTTCATCCCTCAGTTCACGGATCACAGTGTCTCTCTCTTCCCGCTCTCTTGCCACTTCTGCCGAGCTGAGCCTTGTTGCTGCCTCAGCCCGTACCTCCTGGTGAGCAGTGCAATCAATGAATAACAACTTGTAAATTAATAAAGAACATCGATATGGAAAGTTCTTCAATCAACAAGTACAGGTATTGGTACAAAGCTCAAGAGTAAAGTACGGTCACTCAAAAAAGTATCTTTACAAAATTAGTTAGATAGTATGACACGACAGATCAAGGATTTTGATAACCCTACCGAAACAACAGGAGTCACAGTGTTCATTCTGAAATTCATCGCCCTCATACCCTAGTAAGCTAGTTTTTTGAGTGACTATATATTAAGAGGAAATAAACAAACTAATGAAGACCATATCTCCACTGAGCACACATTGGCCCATCCAGACACAGGCTTTATCAAATATATAAATTATGTGAGAAAGTGTTTTCACCAGAAGAGGGAAATACCAGAGAAATTCCTCGGTTTGGATCCACTCTCTATTGTGGATGTACATTGTGGTATAGTAATGGGTATGGATGTGGATGTTCTTATGATATGGGTGTGGTTTTTGTTGTGGGTGTGGTCATGGGTGTGGATGTTTGTATGGTCGTGGATTAGGTTATTAACATGGGTGCAAAATGCTCCTCCAAATTTACAAAGGCTATTACTAAAAACACAACTGCACTGTGTTTCTGCCAGAGTGTGGGGGAAGAGTTGGGGAGAAGGGTTGTGTATAGTATTTTGATGATGTTTACGAGACACAAAGAAAGGTATGGCGGCCTCCGCACTCATGACAACACACCCACTACCATGAATACCTTCATCACGTCATTATTTACAAAAGGGGAGGTAAAATATAATTCTCATTGGATTATTTCTACTCTACGTGTATCATATAATAAAAAATAAAAGCCTCTGTTTGATGAACTTTGCCAAAACCTTTCAACACTGTACTGATACCTCGAGCTGCTTCTTAATGGCTTCCTTCTCTCTCAAAGCTTGCTGAAATTTTCTCTCCATTGTGACGAGGCGCTGAGTGAATTCTTCTCTCAAGGACTCGGTCGCCTCCACGCCACTACCACCCTCCAGTTCCTCAATGTGACTGGAATAAATAAGATATATTTAAGCAATAGGTTCAGGGATGACTTAACTCTTCGTTACACAGCACCAATACAGTATTCTGAGGATAACTGCAGTAAACCTCTTTATTTAGCACTATAATGTCTTGTTTCATAAAGATCTACATAAAACTTTAATGATAATCAATATATAAATGTTTTGCTAATACTGAGGACGAGTGAAGGGTCGTCAAGGATTGAATTACTATTTAATATGAAAAATATAATAAGAAGTACAGGTTTATTAAAAGTAAAATAATATATAGTAATGTTCGTTATACAGTACACTCTCCCAAAAAAGTACTGGTCCCTTTTCTCATCAATACAATGTGTCACAATGGACGAATATTTCAGGATCACTAATTGTGATTCCTGCATTATGTTGGTAGGCCTTCCTTCCTAGTATCTGTGAGGTTGCCAGTTATTATTTCTGGCATTTGTTGTAATTATGGTGAATCACCGTGTTCCATCTTCAGTAAAATAATATCATGATATTAATGTAGCAAAAATATATCAACGGCAGTCAAATAATGGGTGTTTTCTGCTGGAAACTCATGACCAACACGAGTACTCGAGACTCATTGGAAAACACAGCTTGCACAGGCAGACATCGTCTCGTAGTGTGTATCAGATGATGTTCCATTGCCAGCACAAATCATGAGATGATACGTTATACTGTATACATAATTGTTACTTCATCAACTGAGGTAGAAATATTATTGAAATCCAGTAAATCATAATGTAATACCAGATCACAGTGTTTCATATTTCGTTCGAAACGATTCCATTGTAACCTCGGTTCATGAAAACATAGTAACATTATATTCCTATTTGGCAACCCATCCCCTGGGGTTGAAATAGTATCTAAGGTGCATAATTCAGCGGGGTTACTCATGATGTTATTGGTTTTGCATATGGTATCACAATTCATCCATTTTCATTGCATTATGTAGAGAATAGGTGGTATACTGTAGATATCATGGTGATTATCAGGTGCAAGAAGAAAGAACGAAAGGTGCAACTCACAATTAGAAATACCGACCGAACCAAGACTGCTGTGCACGTGTTATTCTGTTCATTTACAAATACATGAGGCCCAGGGGGGCCGATACTTTTTTGAGAGAATGTATACACAATATGGTGCTATAGTGTCTTATACAGTACATACAATAATTTGGTATAAAGTAGTGTCTTGTATGTACAATATGGTGGTATAGTTTGTTTTTTATTTAGTATGGTGCTATAACTTGCTATCCCTGCTCCATGCAATGATTTTCATTTGACCATGTTTGTTTGTTTGTTTGTTTGTTTCACTGTCAGCACAGAATTTCAAAACCCTCTCATGCTGGCTCTTGATATTTCAAGATGTAATTTCTTACTTCGGTAGGTACGAAAATTACTGCATTTTTCACAGACTAAAAGCCCATGGATGACAGGATGGTAGACTAATGCATACAAATTATATCACATATTCAAGGCAGGCAAAATACATGTTAAAAATATCCAAAGAGTCATGAAGACAGGGACAGCTTACCCCTTAAGACGTAGGTTTGTATCTTGTAGGGCTGCATTTACTTGACTCAGTTCCATTACCTTTGTTTCTCGTGCTTCCAAAACTTCCGTCAACTGGGATAGTTTCTGAAATAAACGACAGATTGATCCTGGATATCTCACTTTACAGCCAAGTCACAACAAGGAAACTCAGGCCTTATACCCATCAAGTCTATGAACAGCATCCCACACTAACCCCTGACAATGATAGCTGCCATCTTGCATTTTCCAGTAAACAAGCCAAGTCCAGATGATATTCATAACAAATCCATATGGAGAAGGAAGACTCTTGAGTCTCCTTGTCCCTAATTGATTATAAAATGGTCAAAGGCTCATTCTTGTACCCAAAGCCAACATGATACTAGGAAGAGGCAAAATGAATTGCCAGGTTACAAAACAGTTACAGCAAGGAATATACAGTGGGGTATGCTATAACGAACGTAATTGGTTCCAAAACCTCGTTCGTTATAGCATTCGTTCGTTATAGGATTAATCCGTTCCAGGCCCCCAAATACAACCACCTAACACTGAAAAAATTCTGTGGAAAATGTAAAAAATACGGTACTTTATCTTACCTTAGTGTTATTCAGCATGCAGGTACCCCTAAACACTGGCACATCACTATCACTTCCACTGGGAGTCTTGGCTTTAAGGTCCTCAAACAATTGTCTGGCCTTCTCACAAATTATAGCTTCACTAATGTTACCACCTGCCATTTCTTTCTCCTTTATCCACACTAAGAGTAAATTTTCCATCTCTTCAATCACATTACACTTTGCTTTGCTAAGTCTAAAGATTCCCTATGCCACTTGCACAGCTTTTAACTCCCCTTTATTCTTCAAAATCGTACATATACTGTAGTCGATTTAGCCATCCCATATTCATCACTAAGTTTCGCAATGCTTCTTCCATTCTCACATTTCTTTATAATTTCTTTCTTAGCTTCAAGGGTAATTAGCTTTCTCACTCGCTTTGGACGACTCATTGTTACAATTGTATACTTGTATAACAAAATAGTTATACAAATAACGCGAATTTCCACATCAAAAGACGAAATTTCAACAATAACAGTGGTGCAATGGCTACACAATGAGACAAAGATGGCGCCTGACGCTCTTGTTGTGGGTCGCGGTACAACAATATTCATGCGCCAGGCGAAATAGTCCCGTATTCATCCGCGTTCGTTGTAGGAGTTGCGTTCGTTATGGCATTCTCAATTTTATAGGTAAAACCGTTCGTTATAGGAATATTCGTAGTAGGATCCGTTCGTTATAGCATACCCCACTGTACAGGTATAACTCCAACGTTATTTCCTCTTCCATAAAAACTAGTGTGAATGGACATTACAGTTAAAAATGCTGTGGTGGTGGTGCTGCTGGGGATCATGTGCTCTCAGATGTTTTGGAAATGAGACTTTGGAACTCATTATTTAGATATATGACTTATAAGACCCTCGATATAACGGACTTCCATCTCTATATAATTTGTTAGATGGAGGTTTCGTATTTAAAACTCTCGATATAACAGACTTTCCCTCCACATAGTCCGTTAAAAAGAGGTTTCACTGTACATATTAACCCTTTAAACACAGTAAATTAGCAATCTGACCTTCATTAGTTTGTCCACTTCTGATGAATGGTTCTCAGATGAACTCTCGCTGGTTTCTGAGAAATTGGACTGATTCCGACGATGACCTGAAATATTTACATTCAAATATACTCATTACTGAACATATAAAACACAAGTGAACACAAATACACTGAACATGCATTACTGTACTGTTACAATCACTCTATTAATAAACATCTGATATACAATTCCACATACAGTATTCAAATCACCTTTTAGAAGAAATCTTGCTGCATTATCACATACTTTTGGTTGACAGAGATTATCAAAACACCTACAGTATACTGACTTACCTCTATACAGTATAATCAAATACCTGCATGAGAAAAACATGAAAAATAATGCATCACAATTAACTCACTGTTCACAGCAGGTCACATATGGGGCAATGTAATGTATGAATAGGAGTGATGTTAACACAGAAAATGGAAATTGTGAAAATTATTTGCTTGAAGGAGAGTGTTCAGGCTATCACGCAAGGGAGTACTGTACAAGGTATACTGGGTATTAAGGGACAGGAGGCATAAATGGAAAAGGAAAAATTTCACCTGCCTTTTGTAAGAAAAAATAAATCCCATTTAAACTTCCACCATTAACACAAACCCATCACCAATTCCAAATTAACAAGAAATCATGAAAACTCAAAATCTTTCACCAGCATTGCCAAATGGATACTATTTGGAGGTCGAATATTGTATACCTTTTTCAAAGCGAGGTTGGTCCTGGAGGAGGACCTGGGAGATGCGAGTGCGATCGTGGGTCAGGCTGTCTTGGTACAGGGAGTTATACATGTCTCCCTCAGATTCGCTGATACTGGTGAAGCTTGTGGTCATTGATGAGGGAACAGTTTCCACTTGACAGAAAAATACATAATGGTATGAATTTCTGACAACCCAAATCCTTATCTTTTAAGAAATTACACAACAGACTATTTAGTCACCCATTTGAGTAATTTTCAGAAGAAAGGTGGCAAAAAATCAAGAACTGATCCAGATATCCTAGTTTATGCCATGCACAAAACTAGGCGGCTCGTACAGTGTGCTCACTTAACCATTAGCCTAGACCCAGGAGACCTAACACTAGTGACCAAGAATACCTTTATGGTTACTCAAGGAGGGAGAGTAGAAGCATATGTATTTTTTCTAGTAAACTAGAAATGAAGCCTGACAAGCAAGTGATGTTACATTGGCGAGTGTTCACCTCACCCTTAAATCTGAACCCAATTACAATAGTTCCTGGATGTCAACCTCCAATCACTCTCTGCATACTTCCACACTAACCCACAGGAGGCTGTAAGAACTATCCTGCCTAATTTCGGGTTTAGCCATAAAATGGGATTTCAGGATCATTCCTTCATATGTGGTGGCCAGCTGCCCTTCACTAGGTGGTCCATGTAACCGAAGCTAACTATTTCTGTACTAGAAGTCAGACAGATATTTTCTTAATGAGAACCTGGTTTACAACATTGTCAAACGAGGTGTAAATTGTCACGAGTACAGTAATCTTAGAGGCCCAGCATAACCTCTTGTTTTGAGCAACAATTGTTATATGGAAGCAAGTGATGTCTGACCTACCTCAAAGTCACACATAGTCTACACTCTACAGCAGTGGTTCTCAACCTTGTTTGCCCCATGCACCCCTGTCACCATATGTCAGAATGTCATTCCCCCCTCCTTTCCAAGATTGTCTGCCTCAAAAAGTGCATTCCAAATAATATGCATATAATACTGAAAATCCTTTATTTTTTCCATATTAGTATCAGTTTCCCCCCCCCCCATGAAAACCTGAGGGGGGAAATTCCCCCCTGGTTGAGAACCCCTGCTCTACAGGGTTTAATGGGGAAATGATGTGAGTTTGGGGTGAGGATATTCACAGGTTGCTCTTAACCATCACTATGTTATAATGATTCAATGGTGTATGTGATGTATCATGATTTACTGAGTACTGTATGTGAATTCAATAAAAAATGCCTTACCTTTATCATTATTTGTCTTCTTGTTATTATTGCTGGAAGAATCTGAGGCAGGTGATTCTGACCGGTCATTGAGGAGAGAACGTAGTCCACGCTGAGCAGACACCCAAACCCGAGAAGTCGTGGTTGACCCACGTGCAATGGTGCTGCCATCTAGACTTGGACTAATTGTCACAGATGAAAAAAAAGTAAGAATTAGACAGAGATCAATCAATCTTGCAGCTAGATTCAAAAGTAAAAGTAAAAGAATTTCTTGCTAAAATTTGTAGATACATACTGTACCTGTATTTGATATACTGTACTGTATATGCATCAATTAAATTATTATTGTTATACATTACAATGAATAAACAAATACCTCAACATGTTACACTCATTTATAGCAACTTCACAAGAACTGGATTTATACACACACACATGCAGTTTACTTTTTACCACCCAAATTTCAACTCCACTTGGCTAAGGTTTATAATTATGCAACTCCTAACTGCACTTTTAGTCTTCCCTGTAGTTAATGCAATCTGGGAAAACAAGCCATTACCCAGGTACAGCTCCCAAAATCCCTGGGCTTTAAGGTGTTGAATTAAAATGATAAACACAGGTATGCGTAACCCTTAATCTTCCCCTCCCTCACTATATTCCAAGGTAAAGGTATTAAAAAAATTAGAGTCTGTTCTTTGGGCTGTCAACTAACCTGGATATAACTTCAATATCTGACGAGGTAGTTGTCTCCACTTCATCTCCTGAGCTGTGGCCTGAGGTGTGGCCAGAACCAACCTTCAGAGCGTCAGACCTAAAGGACGAGCAGTCATAAATATCCAGTCCAGTACAGTATTCCAAACACTGTATTCAATGAAGATATCAAGTTAAAAATTAATTAAGTATATATATAAATGGCATCAGAAACACTAACCAACCTTATTAACTGTGTGCCTATCTGCAGTGTGTCGTCTACCTCACATTCATGCATCGTGGTCCATGCACATCTTCTTAAAAAATTTTCATAAGTTCTCATTATATTAAAGAACTTGGGTGAAGAAAATACTGTACTGTAGTACAAAATTTAAGTATTAATTTTTAAATCCTGTTTACCAATTACACCAGGATAAGGTAACTACAGTGTGTAATAACCAGCAACCTCACAAGTTGAAAATTAGGTAATCCAGGGCTTTATAGCCATTTTCCATGCTTACCTGATGGCATGGTGTCCTTTTTGCAATCAGGCAAATTTGAAGCTACCTGTAGTTTTACTTTTGGATGCCTTTCCTCTCACCAACCCACTTTTATGGAGTAGGAACAGAATAGTATTATATGTAGGACTGCCAAGTGCCCTCTTAGCTGGCATGGCAGGGTTGGTAATTTCAGAAGTACTCACTCTTGCGTTATGTTAACAGTTACAGTTAATATGAACATGTACCGGGTAAAATGTTCAAAATATGATCTTTATTATGCACTATAATAAAAATGGAAAACATATACTGTACAGGTAAAGTATTTCCAATACAAACTACTTCATAAAATACTTTAAAGATATAGTACAGGTATCATTAAACTAAAATGCACAGCAAATATGAAAATAAGATTTTTTTTTTACTATGGATATGCAATAAAATAATTTTAAAATAACCAAAATTAATCAAAGGAAACTCATGATTAGCATATACAATGCAAGTCCTTAAACAGAAAAACAACAAATATGACATACAGTACAGTATATGACAGCATATAATGTACACAAGTGATTTTTTGTTTACAACTGTATATGAAAATTATATTAACATCCAGCCTATCAAAGAAACATGAACATTTGGGTCATGGTAAATGCCCTCTTGGCACATACGCCCAAAGATGTCCTGGAAGACCACTGCTCAAAGAAACACTTCTTTGTGGAGACATTTTTTAAAATATGTGTTATGGAATATATACTGTACTGCCATGGTCACATACAAGGCCCAAATTTCCTGATACAAAAGTGATTCTTTAGGGATCTTGACTGACTGATTTCCAGCATGTCAGTATTTCCAAAACACTGCATCAAATATAAGTTTACCTTTCTGAAGATGAGGGCGAGTGTTCTCTTTCTGGTGGAGAAGAACCTCCGCTGGTGGCTTCCTCATCACCCATTGCTTCTTCCAACAGGCAGCGCACAACTGCCCCGCCCGAGCCTGTCATGCTGCTGTCTTGCATTTCACTGCCCCCTTGTTGCTCATGTTCACCCAAACGAGTAGCACTCCTGTTAATGAGACGGTATCTGATAGGCTAGTCAGATAATTGGAGGAAAGACAAGATACCCTGTTGCCCCATTGTTTCAATGATTGACAAATGTTACAAAGTTTTGTAAAGCAAATCTGGACCTGGGATATTGGAGAAGGGCAAGGAGTGCAAAAATTAATCTGATGCTTCAAGAAATTTAAGAATTGAGTGCACATGAGATATGGATGATACACACACTAACAATATTTGACAAGAACAACTAAAAGAATATAAGGCAAGTGTGCTTCCCTTGGTGGGCTGGCTGCAATGTGTGCACTGCTGCAGCAACACACTGTCGTTCTAGACTAGTTTACTTTAAGATAAACTGAGCACATTTCTGGACACTGGTAGGCTTTGTCTAAGGATGTCTGGTAGAGAGTTATCTATCTCTGGAAGGTCATTTGCCCATTCCCTTGGCCACATAGAGGGACTTTATGCTTTAATCCTCTATTTTCATATTATGTATTCATTTAAAGGACTGTTTTGTATAATGGGTCTTCAAGCTCCTTTTGGAGATGGATGGGAAGATGCATAAAATATATTCTCCTTAATATGTGGAAACACTTTGTTCCAGTCACTCTTAAATGAGACTTCACTTAGGAGGTAAGGGTGCCTTAGTGGGATGGAAGTACTGTACAGTAAACTTTCAATTCATATAACTTCTATTTACATACCTTGTATGTTACAACATATTGGGTAAAGATGAAAACAAACTACAATAACTTATTAACTAACCAAACCATCTGAGTAGAATCCACTGAGGCTGTGATTGTGTCCGAACTGCCTCCACTTTCCACAGATATGTCCAAAGATACAGTCGGTGCAGCACTCTCGGTTTCCTCCCCGTGAGTCCCATCCACAGACCCTGAACTGGCTTGTGTAACTGTTCTTCTGTCTTCTACTGAAGCCTCATTATCCTCAGATGGGGTATTATCAACAGGAGTAACAGTACTCTCTGATGCTGGAGACTGCCCGGTGAGCTCTGCTGGTAATGTGTCCATTGGACCTGTGAGTATCTGATCATGTGTTATTATACTGGCATCCAGCACAGTGTGGGTACTGGAGGTGGAGGCACTGTGTACACTTTCACTGGTCGATGTATCTTCTATTAAGCTAGTGCTTGTTTGAGAACTGGAATCACTGTCCTTTATTACAGATGGCAATTCACTTGAGGCTTTGTGGGTTGAAGCCAAGTTTTTGGGATATACCTGTATGGTTTCTCCTCTGTCCAAGTGAGTTGGCTGCTTTACTACTGTTTGTTCTATAGAGCTCACGTCTGAGTCTTTCTCTACACTAGAGTCACTTGCTATAGGTTCTTGAGATAGAACAGGCTGGTCTGAAGTGTGGTGAAGGACTGGTTGGACCTCAGTGTGAACAGCCAATTGTAAAGTGGGCTGTGTGCTGACAATATTGGGTGGAGGACTTAAGTCTTGAATAAGTGTGTTACTACATGAATCTTGGTGAGTGGGGGATGAATCACTAGAGGAAGGCCCACTAAGTACCTGAAAATAAGATATTCTTTACTTTCACATAAAATAAGAGAGAAATTAATGACAAGTTAGACAGATAAACAAAAGTTACCTTCATCATTCAATCATATCAGTAAGTAAAAGTGATTCTCAGCCAGAAAAAAAAGAAAGAAAATAATAGGTTTATGTAGCACTAGATAAACCAAGTACTGTACAGCAAAATGTCATTATACTATAACATAATGCAATACTGTGCTGTATCAGGATAATCATCACCCAAAAAATAATTGACACTTCAAAAATTAGATTAAAATAACCATGAGATTATTAGAAAGTTGAAGCCAAATAATTTACCAACTCACGGTAATTTTCAAAACAGGATGAAAGACCGCATGAAACATTTATAGTACAGAAAACTTTAAGAGAGAATAAATACAGTACAGTTTAAGTAGACCCAAATTATGAAATACTAAGGCTTACTACCATACTAGGGACAGAGTACATACTTTTTAAACCTTTGAATAACCCAAGGGGGACTACTGTACCACCGCAAGTTCACTCACAAAAGACCACTAGAAATGATGAATGAGTAAATAAAGACACTGCTACATTAAACTATAGCAACACTTTCAGAGTTTATATATCAATAAATAATCTGATAGCTACCATTTTAAAACTAACTAAAATGTTACATCAAATTTAGATCAATGAATCATCAAGTCAATTGACAACGGGGGTAAAATATCATCATTTAAAGCTATAGGAGATATAAAATGAATAATATAGTATGTACTTATATCACATCTTTAAATTTCTTATCTGTTAGTTACCTTATCCCTAAACTTGTCAATTAACCTATTTATCATGCCTGGGATAAATATACATAGCTATATCATATTGCATACCAAATCAATAATAGTACAATCCCTAATTCCAGTCACTTATTATTCCCAAATCTAACATACACCCTCAGTCCCCCATCCAAATTAACAAAACTGAACATGTATATACTGTAAACCATAGCTACACATGTACTCTTTTAAGGTTACACACATCTAATAAAGGCAAATGCAATACACAACTATATTTAGTAATACAGATCTCTGACAGTCCTTTATTCCCCCCCCCCCTCTTCTCTGTTGCTGATCCCCACCTTAACACACATCACCTATAACAAAACAAAATTCATCTTCCCTTTGACCAACTCTTCGGTAGTCTTCTTTATTATCATCTTTGAAAACATAATCTAAGCTCCTGTATACGTTCTTGGGCTATTTTTATCAATCCTCTAAGGTTTTGTATCTCTCTGAGGACCTATAATTATTAGCTACCAATGAAAAATAGACAAAAGATATTGAACCATATTTTATCCATGAAACAACACCTAAAGTATATTTCACTAAACCACTGCATCAACAAACAAAATCTACAACTAGCAAACTAGACTTACCTCAATGGAGGACGGTGAGGTAACAAGACTGGACGAACCGAGAACTTCTATTGATTCTGGAGAGCTAATGGGACTGGTTGTTTTTCCAGATAAAAAATTAACCGTTAGTTTAGTTTTTGCTCCAGCAGACAAACTTCCATGTTCCTCTCCATCAGGTGAACTGTTGTCTGAGTTAAGCACAACTATACTGTCCGGTGTGTTGCCTTCTGAGTTATCACACGACACTGTAGTTCTTCTTTCACAAATTTCTATTTTATTACTCGCACTCGTGTTGCTTCTATTGGAGTCATGAGATTTATAGTGTTCTACACCTTGACTATGCTTTTTCACTTTACAATTATCTAGATATTCTTGCTCTCCAATAAACACATCTTCAGATATGGCAGAAGGAACATCCAGGTCGACAGATTTTCCTGAGAGGGAACCTTGGCTCTCCTGCCGTACAAACCCACCACTGTCACTGTCTACACTCCCCACTACCAGCCGACTTTTGGCAAACCCTTCTACGTCAATATTGTCGTCGGCCAGACTGGCCTCACGGCCTTCTAGATCTCCTTGCATTGTACCAAACTCCCCTGAAAAATAAAGTGCTTAAGAGTAAAAAGGCTCATGGAGTACTGTAATGTTAAGGATGAGATGAAAAAAATTAAAGAATGGATGACAAGTGTAAAGGCTATAAATGAGATGGGGAAAGGTACCAAAAGAATGGCATAGAGCATATGTACAGCTTCCCTGTATAAATAAGGAATCAAACCTAAGCACCTTTTTCTAGCAGAGCCCACAGCCAATTTCCTTTTAACATATTTACATCAATGATTAAAACTACTGAAGTATTGAATATACAGGATATTTTTTTTACTATTTCTTTTCGAGTTAAAACTGCAAAAGCATTCATTAAATAAACACAAATACAGTATTACCAACTCTCTTACCTTCCTGGTGGTCCCCCGACATAACCATAATGCTACTCTCCCACCCCCAGCCCCACTCATTTGTTGCTCCATCAACACCACTGGCATTCATGTCAGCCATCTGCTTCACCTCATTATTTTTGTCATTATCCAACTGCAAAGAAATAAATGCATTCTATAACACAATTTTACCCTCAAGTTTATTGTTAGTTTATCTTAAAAAGCTACCTGGGGGTTTTGTTCTAGTCTTTTACATGCTATTATTGTTTTTATTATATCACATATTTTGGTACAGTACTTTCATAGGTTAAACAAATGCAGTATACTTCACCATGTGGCAATCAAAACTGGAATAATAAATGGAGAACTGCCCCTCAAAATACTGTATACACCAATGAGATACCTGGTATCTTTTACTATCATCATCGTGATCCTCTAAACTGGATGTGCGGGGCTGTGTAGATACTGGACTGGTTGTTAGTTGTAGGGTTGGTAAGCTAGTGCTACTACGTGGAGGCTGAGTGGCCACAATGCTCTTTTCTGACCCACTTGAAACTTCACAAGTATCTGTAAGAATATTATTCTTAATTTTTCATTCACTCTCACTTCTACACAAGGTTTTATACCCAGAGAAGTCGTGTAATTACAAAATCAAACAATGGCGAATCTATTATGTACAGTAGTGGGAAAATCAATGATATGGTTCAGAGATATCACTAACATCATCAATTACCGTTATTTCTATCCCTATATACAGTATTACAGCCCTTACATGAGATGGATTTATTCATGCATTTAACTTGTTGCTCAAGTAAAGTTGAACTTACCATTAACTTTTTTCCTGCCAGAAGTAGGGTTCTCAAAGAAAGATCCAGTAAATGACCCCCATAAACTTCCAGCCATGATGGTAGAATTACCGGATTTCCCTTCATCTGAAATGTATAAGCATTATAATAATACCATGTATACATATAATGATGTACTGAATTCAGAAATGGTAATATCATCACTTTTACTTTTTCTTTGGACCACCTAACCTGCTGATCACAAGGAGGTGGTGAGGTTAGGATTATGTTATATACTTCCCCCAATTCTAAAACTCACTGGGTCAACTGAACTTAAGAGAGAACGTGAGCATTAAAATTTTCCGCTGTCTAATTCTTGAGAGTTGGACCCATTAGGGATAACCCGGCTAAGTAGTACATCATAAAACAAAGCTTGCAACTTATGGTTCTATCAGTAAATACTATCCACTAGGTCATCAGAGATAAGAAACAAGTGAATGGCAAAGTATGCATCTGGAAGTTTTGCTCCAACTACTGTATTTCTACATGACTGTGACCAGGTACTGTACCTTTAGATGTTGTGGCAGTTCCCGGAGTAGAGTCTATGGGGGAATTTGCAGGCGTGAGAGGTAATTTTTTCTTATCCAACCCAAATGATGCAAAAAAGTTTTCAGACTCATCTTTTAGCTTCCCTGGCAGTCCTGGAAGATAAATAATTTCTTATTTCAATGTAGGAAATTTCATCATTACATTACTGAACTAGACTAAAGCAATTTATTTTGGCAATAATTACAGAATCCTTAGTCACCTGCACATTCCAAGTTTACTTTTTTCATTCCATTTATATTCTTAATAATTTCATTAAATCTTTCGCCTTTCTCTATCCTCAACTTTAAAATCTGCTTCTCACTTCTTGGAAGGCTTTTAACCTTCCATTCACCATTAATCTTGCTTCTACCAAGTAATGTTCGCATACTTTTGCACTGCCACTCGTTTTATAACTTCTAGTCTTTCCTGACACTCTACTTCCCCACATGTAGCACATTATTTTATTATATCTCTCAGAAAAAATATATCAGTGTTTATGAAAGAAGGTATATTATTTAAAGCCAATTAAGAGTTCATTTAAGTATATAAATCCTGCAGTTTTAAAGAATCTCACCTTTAGGAGTTTGTGCGGTTGTAACTAATGGTGTTCTGGGTGGCACTGTGTTCTCTTCATTCTCCTCGATGTCAAGTGCTTTGTCAATTGTACGTTGAGCTTCCTTTAGAGCAGATCTGGCGAGGGAAGTGAAGCCGGCAGTGTCAAACCAGCTCATTGTGGCGGCTACCTGAAGGGAGCAAAATAAAATATTGTATTCTGTTGCTCAACCTTGACTCATTGTTTCAACAAATGATGATAACTTTATCATACTACTCTACTGTATAATACAGTACTGTAGTGATTTTCTTCTAAACAGTTTCATTCCTATGAACACTTTCACAGAAGAACAACTTAACAGCTACTGAAAAACTCTATGATTTATATGAGATCAAATTAATCAACCTATCAAACCTAACCTAACCTAACCTAACCTTCCTAACTTAACCTTGGACAGGTAGGTTCATCTTATACATATCCAATAAATCATATATATTGTAACAGTAAATGTTAAGGTTTGGAGGTGTTGTGTACAAAATGAAACCTTCACAGGTAAACAGAGAATAAGGCATTATTGTGTCAATATTGATTGGTGTTAAGTTGAAAAAAATTACAACAATGAAAACCTATAATTGTAAATCTTCATAATTTTATGGGATTTAATGAGTTAAGAAAGCATTTATCTAATAAAGAAAATTTTCCTGAAGTTTCTGAATAACCCACAATATTATTATTAATTATGTACTACCATCTTTTACCCGAGTAGATTGCCCAAAACGTTCTACATTAGCCTTCCATAAAACAGTTGTCAATGACAGGATTATATTAACTCATTTATTCTGAAAAACTTATCATATGAGTCCACACTACAGGCATATTAGAAATTATAAACAGTATGTCATCTTGGTCTGACATTATCCAGCTGGACCAGACCATACAATACAGGTTTTTGCCAGGAATTCTCTACCAACACTCTAGACCTAGGGGGATGGCCCTCACTGGGCATATAAGGGAGGTAAATTAATTGACAGAACTACCCAGTATATATGAAATTACCAAATCATAAAAATATACATTAAAAGTTTATCATCAATGCGGTCGTGTCAATATAATAATACCCAACATCTACCTACCCCTAAATCTATAACAATGAAAGTATTATAACAGTCTATACAAAGATATCTCAACAATAAACATCAATTCTAATAATTCATACCTCTCAAAATCTTATATATGACTTCATCACAATTATAGTCAGTAGTACAGGTGTATAATTTAGTAGTTTATGTTGTTATTTTGGCTGGACACTTGACACGCAGGCAAGACTGGTCGCTTCCACCGCCACCACCACCGCTACCAGCTGCTGCCACCACACCACCAGGAAACTCTCTTTTTTGCTTTATTTTAGTTTATTTTACTTTATCCTCTTCGCTAATGGTAGCTCATCAGCCTGTTTGTTTGTTTTTGACACTATCATCTTTACAATTCTGATGCCACCATAATGATAACATTAATTGAAACTTTTATAATTGCCTTACCATATAAATTTTTAATTAGTTTGACATGTACAGTATACGACATGCTGTATAATAGACTGTAGGTACAGGGTGACTTAACAGTTTAGCCTGTATATAGACAACGCAGGTATATAGTATAAGATGTAGGGATAAGTTGTTGTCCATGAGCCATACAGGTAAAGTTTACAATTAACACTATTGGGCATCTTATTTACATAACACAGGAAGAGCAATGGTCCTAGGAAAGGATATTCCCCTGTGGGACTCCACAGGCTATTGGCATGGGTGTTGACTCGAAGTTATTAGCAACAACAATTTGTTTCTTGTTACTAAGAAACCAGCTGACAGGCCCAATGCCAAGAGCGTGCAGTTTTACACGTACAGTATATCGTGAACAAATGTCCGGATGATTTTTTTTCGGGGGGAGGGGTGGGGAGTGTACTGTAGTGTGTCCCGTCAAGACAGTCTTTGGTCCCGTCCAGCAAGTGGCAAGGTGGCAACTCCCCGGTGTTGTGGCCCTCACCAGCTGGCTGTGGTGGTGGCTCACTCACCTGCGTCTGTAGATGGCACTGAGACCGTGAAGTTAAATAATTTCTGACCCTGTATAAGTATTTCAGTGTTATATTTTGTACCGTGAACAAGATTTAAATATGTATAATTGCCAACCACTATTGGATCGATTGACACATGTTCTCGTTAAGACAGGAGCTATTGAAGAGTTTTCCATGAAAGAAACTCCATTGGAGAAAATTAAATTTTGTCTTGAAAAAGAAGTGATATATGATACAGACATCAAAATCAATTTAAGGTAGGTATTGACAGTGACAGTCGTTTGTAATTGCTATTTAGACCTACCAGCTGCCCTTGAATCCAGTGGATGTTGTTGGTAAAGAGATTGTTACTTGTACAGTATATGTTATATGGATTGGTTGTATGGCTATTTATTGATAGTATTAAGGATATTCCAATTTCTTTGGTAATGTATGAGAACACCGCCACCATCAAAAAGAGTTGTTTGATTTCGTTATTTTTTTCCACATGTTCTTATCATTATAGTATTTTAAAGGCAGTGGATATTTTGCTGCAATTGGCAAAGTTCATACCAGCGCTATTTTACCGTGAGTGCACTTTGATTGGCTAATCATCCTTTATTGGCCAACGAGAAAATGTGACCGCGACTGACGGCATTTGGCATTAATTTCGTAGTGAATTCATTGTTGTGTAGCTTTAAACATACTTAACCAGAAGTTGTAGTTCAATTTTAGTAATTTTCTCCTCAGATGTTCTTATCATTATAAAAGAGGTTCCTAGCTGGGGATGGAACCCCCATCATATTAAACAGAAATTACCTAGCTAATCAGAGCGCACTCACGATAAAATAGCGTTAGTAAGAACTTACCCCCGTATTATTAAAGAACATTTTCCTTGGAGAGGGTCGTCGTGTTTCAATCCGAGTTTTAAACTAAATGAGTCCTGAGGGACACCGCAGTACAGTACATAATGGGGTGGTGTGGCAGTGAAATTAACTAATTCCAATAAAATTAATTTATAATATTGAAATTAGTTAATTTTACCACCACACCAGCCCGTTAAGTACTGTACTGCGGTGTCCCTCAGGACTCATTCAGTTTAAAACTTGGGTTGAAACACAACTACCTTCTTCAAGGGAAGATGTTGTTTAATAATACGGGCGTCAGCCAGTCACGGCAAAATATCCACTACATGTTTTAAAAGAGGCGACATTAATAATGAACTAATAGAACCTGAGTTAATCAACCAAAGAAACCTTCGCCATATTAAACAGAATGTACTTATTATGATATCTGGTTCCAATAAAAGCAACTTTGTTGAAGCGTCATGGTGTAATTTCACATTTTTTGAGGACGTGAGAGTACGTTCAGACCGAGCGGGTCGGTTGTAGACAAAAAGAGCAGACGGCAACATTCGCTGATGCAGCAGATTTTTTTTTAGGGGTATTTACAGTGAATACTTAATTTCTTCACGTACAAAGTATGAAGGGACATCATTTTAATATCATATGATCAGTTTTTCACCATGTTTTACTTTGCAATTTCCCTCATCCTTCATGCCATACCTACTACTGGTGATTTATGATCGTAGATAGAGAAAAATAAACAAAAATACCTATAATTAAAATTAAAAGTTGTTGCCTCTTTTAAAATACAGTACTTAGTGTAATGAAAAACATGTGGAAAAAGAAGAATGAAATCGAACAACTCCTTCTAGTGGTGGCAGTGTTCTCATAAATAACCATTTCTTTTTATACAAACTTAAATTGAGGTTTTTTCCATTTCAGAACTGAAATTCAGGATCTCTTAAATGCCCTTTATGAAAAGTGTGGCGATCATGGCAAGTCACAGGACTTCGCCTTACAAGCAAAGAATAAAGGTTCAAAGGTATGCCTTAAATATAAATTGTTGGCAGCCATATTTCTTGTCAATTTTCCTTATAGTATTAAATTAATGAGAAGTAATATAATCATGAGCAAAGTTAATACCAGTATTCCTTTCTAGGCATATCTTAAAAAGAAGGATGCAGAGGCACTCAACAACTTTACTGAGTGCCTTTCCTTGGCACCAACAGAATCCACAATCCTGCCTTTGGCATATGCCAATCGTTCTGCTGTACTTTTCCAGATGGGTAGATATGAGGTAAGCTTTTACTGAATGATGAATTATCCTCTTCACTTAATTAACTGCAGTAGATTTTTATGCAGTAAGCTGTTAGGGAAAAATCTTTGTATATAATGTGTTTAAAATTCAGTTCAGATGGATGATGACACTGAGCTTAGTGGCACACTCAAACTACTGTATTGAATTACTGGTATCTTTTTATTTAAATTTTTTCTGCATAACTCTTCAGTACACTATTATAACTCTGTTAAACTAATTATCTCACTTACAGGAAGCTCTCCAAGACATGAATCGAGCAGAGGAAAATGGATATCCTGCAGCTCTCCAACACAAGTTGCTGACTCGCCGCTGTCACTGCTATTTAATTCTGGGAAAAGAAGATGAGGCGAAAGCAAGTTTTGATATTTGCAAGAAACATTCTCGAGTTATTCCTCCTGAATCTAAAGGTATTTACTTCATATCTTTAAATGATGGTTCCCAGACCTTCGGGTTCTTTATAAAGTGCAGATAAGTCCTGTACCTCATTTGACTGTTGGAACCTTATGGAGAGATCAAGTAATCACCACCACCAGATTAGTGATGGATGTGGAAGCTTCATTCTGTAGTGAGGGTTGATAGTCAGGGGATAATTGAGTTAACAAAGTTGTTGTATCTACTGTATAGACCTTCCTTCATGTTGATTACTTCAAATGACTGTGAAGAATCATATTTTCTTGAATTCCTTCCCATTTCCAGTAAGGCAGGTGTTATGATATTAGTTACCCGTTAGGGAGAAACTGGAATGTTTCAGGGCCTCAAGTTTTGTGGGTAAAGTTCCATTCTTAAAATTGGTAGCAGGTATTCTATGTAGGCAGACTTATACCTTGGAGTTCATACTGAGGAAGGCTAAGCTCTCATTCATGTCCTTTCACCTTTTTTCATATCCTCTAACTGACAGTTTTTTCTGTTTGCTGAATGAGAATTTATCTGAGGCTAATCTAATGAAGTTGTGAGCTGGTTCATTGGGCAATCTGCTGATTCAACTCATAGAATGTTCCTTTTACCTTTTTGTTAAGTTAAAGAGTCCACATAAGAGAGTAGGTAGCAGAAAGTGTACCAATTCCAGAGGGTTTCTTTGACCCATTCTCGCTGTCTGACGGAAGATTGGTTGATGGGAAGGGGTTTGAGCATACAGAAGACCTTAACTGAGTCCTCCTCTGCCTCATTTCATAAGATTCACTGAAAAGTATTGAGCATTCCTCCCATGAATTCTTATCCATTTTGAGAAGGGCAAGGACGTGTAATTCAGAATTAATCTACCATACGTGACTCGAAGTTTTTGGTTAACTTGGTGTTCAGTTCATTTATTTATGTGCAACTGACTATTTTATCATGTGTAGTACAGCATTCTTACCTTTCAGAAAAATATGAAAAGGCAGTGGCAGACCTTGAGCAGAAAATGATGGATAATACACTGATTAGGAAGGTGACCAATTGTCAAGATGTTTTACATGATCCCTCCATTATTAAAGGAGAGAGCTCTGTTGTCAAGTATATGACTTCTGCTTTTGAATTGAGGTAGGTTATTAAATACTGTATGAAGACTTTTATGGATTTTTCTTCATTTGATGATTGACTTGCTAGAGTTCACCTACCAGAATATACCGTAACAGAGTAAACCTAAGGCAGGTACACTGTTCATTTAGAACAGTGGAAATGGTGTATAATGGTGTTATTCCAAATCAGAATTTGTGAAGCAAGCTCCAAACTTGATCTGTGTGTTTCAAAAAGCCAGTTAGTTAAGAGGTACAGGGATGGACTGTTTTTGCTCAGAGGTTACATATTTGATAAGAAATTTTTAATATTTTTTTAAATGCTAATGACTCATAACAGTTACTCTTTTAGATATTCAGGAATTATGGTAACATACTTCTTCTCCAACCTTTCTCTAAAGTTTAAAGTACATTAGTCATATTACCATGGACCTTATTTTGTTTGAGGTAGATTGGCAAATTTGCTTTAGAGTTATTCATTAGGAACAAGAATGTGACCCATACTCAATTTAGCTTAATATTAAACCTGTGCATTGAGTGTGGTCTTTGGATTCAAGTTTGTAGTTGCATGGACAGACCCAACACTTGCATCATCTGGTTTTATTCAGCTTGTGTTGGTACAGTAGGTTGATTTTAATAACTCAATGTTGGTAATTGTCTAACTTCTTGGGGGGACAGGGTGAATTGGCTCGTAATGATTACATTCTTGTTCCTACTGAGCCGTTACAGGACTTGTACTTCTATTTTATAATTAGATATTTTAGAAATATTAATATCATCTGACAATGGAGTACTGTATGTGTAGTACAGGATGTTAACAGTACCGCTCTGTGTTAAGGCCTTACATGTTTTATGTGGATAGGTGAAGTGTTCACCTTTTTATGTATAATTTGTTTCATTCAATATAGAATATATCCAAAATGAAAGTACTGGTAAGTGTAATGTGTCAGTGTTTTTACTTATTACATTGTTTTACATAGCTGGATTTTTTATCAAGCCTTTCACAATCTGTTACATTGTGTCTCTTTTCAGGGTGAATGACAAGTATGGTCGTCATATAGTTGCCAGTGATGATGTGAGCAAGGGCTCAGTAGTTTTTATGGAGAAGCCATATGCTGCCATCCTTTTGCCAGAATATCACAACTCGCACTGTCATACTTGTTTCACGCCAGCAACCAACCCTGTACCGTACGTTGACATGATAGTATGTTAGTTGTGTTGATTGTCTGATGTTTTTTTACCCATCAAGTCTACAGTCGGTAACTTAGTCTAAACCTCAACATAGATGCATGGCACTTACTTAAACAATATGTACAATCCTCCTCTCACAATCCTAGCTATCTTGGGGTGTTAAAGTAGCTTGTGCAACCTAACTTTGCTTGTCTGTTGCTGGCCACACAGGATTTCCAGTTCCATGCTTTAAGTCTAGGTGTCTCCCACTCATCACAGGTTGTTCCCTGGACACTGTAGCTTTGCCTTATAACAGCTATGCTGGAAGAATTATATCAGTTGTATTAACAGCCCATATCCTTGTTCATCCAGTAGTTGTGTTTATGGAATTTGAATTTAAAGACAACTTCAGGGAAACCTAACCTACTCTGTGTTAACTATAGATTGACAGTGGAGCATTGAAATTGATGTTGGGGAGGACTTAATGTAAGTCTGACAACTTGCTTACTGGTAGTTAAGTTGGATAGTAAGAAGACAGTTATAATTTTGTATTTATTTATTTTTTAATCACCAGATGCAAGGATTGTCGGGATGTAATATTCTGCAAGGAAGAATGCCGAGACCTTGGACAAAAGTGGCACCAATATGAATGTGGTATTCTGCATATTCTTTCATCCGTGGGGATTGCCCACCTTGCTGTCAGGGTAATACTTGTTTCAGGATGGAAACTTTGTTCTGATATCAGGTAATAATGCAGAGAAATTTTTTGGAAATTTCTTTCATAATTCTGGGGATATATTTCTGAGACATACATAAGAATAAATAACTTCATGACCAGTGTCAATTCCCCATAGTTTGAGTTATAACACATGACAGTTGGGGTTGGAATGTGATAAAATATATGGAGTATAAATGAAATATCCAGTGTTGCTAGTACAATTTATTTTCAATTATTTGCAGTCTGATATGAATTTAACAGTAAATGTACAAAATTCCAGCCATCATCCTGAATGTTACCATTTACTTTAAACAGGACTTGATATTACAGGTACTGTAGAATGTGTTTTATTGCCATAGATCTGTTGCCGTCCTCCCCTACCCAGTTTTGTGATATAACTCCAAAACTGTGGAGTATTGACACTATGGTCACGGAGTCGTTTATCCTTATGTTTGTTTCGGGTATTACCAGTAAGCATTCAGTATTTAGTAATGAAAAGAATAGGGTAGTCTCTCCTGGATGGTTAGAATCTTGATATTTGGGTATTTATTTGTCCTGATGACCCTTAGAAATTTTAAATTAGTTTTGCAATGCTCAATTACTAAACCCCATATTAATTCAGAGAAATTTATGAGTATTTGTAGTAAACACAAAAAATTGATGCCAGGTGTTGCTGTCTGCACACAAGAAAGTGTCCTAAGATTATTGTGTGTGACTACTAGCCGCAGTGAATGGGTTAAAACTTTCCATAATGCATGTGTTTTAAATCTATTCCCTTCTTATATAGATTTTGTTTTGTAGGGACGAGGTAATAGAGGGGAGAGTAGCAGGAGTTGGAAAAAATGGTGTTTACAATGGGACAGATTGGGCTGAAGGATATAGAGCAGTGTACCACCTCATGCCCCATTTTAACAAATGTCTTCCAGAGGACCAACTTCAGTACTGTCTAGTGAGTACCAATTCACTGAACTAAAATTACTAACTAATGGGTGCTACAGTATTGAGAACTCTGGATGAATATCACTAAACAAATTAGAGTTTGCTGTATACAGTATTACCTATTTCTAGTTTTATTTCTTTGACTTCCAGGCAGCGATTCTTCTGACAAATGCAGTTTATGACAAGACAGATTTTCGAAAACATAGTGAGGATGTAATGAAGAATGACCGCCTTGAAATAGCTGAGTTTGCTTCTGCAATAATGAGGCATATTGCCCAGCTTGTGTCCAATGCCCATGCAGTGACACAGATTATGGCATCTAGTTGTGGTAAGATTCATGTAAACTCTTATTAACTAGCACAGAGGTGACCCTAACACAAGAGGTTAATTGAAAGATTTAAACCTTATAGTTGTGGGCTGTCATAAACTGTTTCAAGGTCATGTTATGATTGTTAGTGTTAAGACAGTATTTGATAACCATTGTTTTTTATTGTTTGTTTTTTGTCTGCAGGAGAGAAAAGTAAGGTGGAACAAGTGACACAGAAGAGAGTTGCATCTGCTATCTATCCCACAGCCAGTCTCATGAATCACTCTTGTAAACCAAATATTATTAACAGGTATAAGTTGAACTCTGGAATTTTGTATCTGAAATTATCTTTTTGTCTGTATATTTTGCTTATAAATTTTTATCCCCTTCACCACTGATTGACTCGTTAGCCCTAGTTTGGTCATAATGAAAAAAAAATGTACTGTAATAGAAAAAATAAAAATAAAAAGTCTGAAGTAATCTGGTTTTACAATTTTAAAAAGTTTGTAACAGCCTTTTTGTTTCTTCCCCCTCTCCCCCAGTTTCCACAAGAATATGCTGATAATACGGACAGTAGAAGATGTTAAACCGGGTGACCAGATACACAACTGCTATGGTGATTGATATTGATGTTCTGTTACTTTAGAATACAAATGGAGTTGACAAGTAGAGATGCTTGAGACTTATTTCGTTATAGACTGAGAGACTGTTTTTGGCTGGAAGGAAACAGCTGTTTTTGCTACTCATTGTTGCTTTATCAGGTATGACAAGGCAGCTATATCATGAAGGATAAGCAAGGGCTATAGATCATCTTTTGTTTCACCTATTTCCTATAATGGGTTATCAGGATTCACTATCCTGAATATGTTTACATTATTTTCTACTGAAATGTAAGTGTACAAAACAGGAGGTAGCTCACCCTTAAATGACAGCCATCTTCGGTGGAAGTTGGCTGTAAGGACGGTGGCCATTATTGGTGGATGTTAGTTGTAGGGTCAGCGACCATCATCGGTGAAAGTTAGCTTTAGGGTCGGCGACCATCATCGGTGGAAATTTGCTGTTGAGACAGCGGCCATCATGTGGAAATTTCATGATCCTTGTACAGTATTCCATTTTTGCACATATGGGACGGGGTTGGGGATTCCTTAGCTACTAATTAAAGGCTAACCGCAATTAGTTATTCATAATAGAATATTTCCCCATTAGTTTTTAATTATACTGATAAATTTTGAAAAGATTTAAAATCTTGGATCAACTTATTTTGCAGGTCCACACTACTGCCGACAGACTCGCGGAGAGAGACAAGAATCCCTAAAACGGCAGTATTTTTTTACTTGCAAATGTGCACCGTGTACTCAGCCTGAGTATTTACAGAAAGAGGTACTGTACCGGTAATTATGCTTTGTTCTAGTTTTCTGCCTCTTGTAAACAGAAATCCAGGCAAATGTGGACTATCTGTACACTTGAAACTCCTATAATGAGGAGCTTGACTATTACCACCCTTCACATCCCCCCCAACAGAATCTGTAACCATAGACCACATTCCTCGACTGAGGTTTAATCGCAATTCCTGAATCATTGAATCACTCCTCCATATTTTTTACCTAAAGGTCCAGATTTGTAGAAACTGCATTGTTTTACATGATACTGTATGTCTTTTTTTTTTTCCATTTATAGCTCTAGCTGTAGTTTTATTTGTTTCATACATTCTTCCTTTGATCTTTTCTTACATTTCATAATTTTTCAGGCAAGTTGGAGTGGATTTCATTGTGAGAATTGTCAAGGTATATTATCCTGGATGGGTGACAATGATGATGCAACCGGTGGTGACTTAGTAGACAGTGGAGGTGTTCTTCTGTGTCTTCAGTGTCACAAACTGCAAAAACCATCAACATGCCTGATACATACTTGCAACAAGGTCACCTCTCTTCATGAAGCTGGTGAGAATATACTGTACTGTACCAAGAAAATGTACAGTACAATAGTTACCTTATTCTGATGTTGTACAGGATTTCTAAAAAAGTCTATTCATTTTAAATTTATCTTGATGAAAAAGTCACTTTTGGTATGCACAGTTCTTGGAAAATTAAGCTTATATTACTAACTAAAACAGTACAACATCTGACTCCAGGAGAAAGAATGTAAGCAACAAGGAGGCTCTACCATTTTTCAAAATGTAGAAAATTAACTTGGCTCTTGCAAAATTATGAAGCTTTTTCATTAACTATCAAAGAAATAAGATAAATTACAACTTTCTAACTTATGAATCACTAACTAATCACTAACTTTTTAGATACCCTGTACAATAAATATACTGTAATACTGCATGCAGTAATGTACAGTATTGATAATATGCATAGGTAATAAAGCATCTTTTTAATGAAATGAAATTACATTTTTTATAAACTATCAAGACATGTTATAAATTTTAGATAATTTTCTGTGTGGAATAGAAAGTTCTCATGTTCAAAACTCATTCATGATTTGTGTAAATTGTTTATTTATTTGGATACAGGTGAGGAAGCATTGCAGAAAGGTGACCCCCAAGGTGCTGTTGACCTTCTCAGGAAAGCTGTATCACTAGGCTGTAAAGTATACCTTCCGGAAAATCAATATTACATTTCAATTCGAGATACTCTTGCACGAGCTTTAAGTGATATAGGTAAGAATTTTAAAGCTTTTATGATTGGTTAAAAACAAATCACTAGAAAGCACACTCCTGCTATATTGTAAGGCAGTCAGAATCAAGAGCAGACACAGAACCACTCTTCATCAACTCTTTCTACTGTACCAACCCCATATTTTCCTACCTTTCACAACGCCACTGCTTCTTGGATGTCCATCTACCTCACTTTTATAAACTTCTACTCTTCCTGCTATCGTCCTTATTTTATTTACAACACCTCTGAAAGTTCATCTTGGACAGGGTGATCATGACACAAAATTCTCCAGGTCATCTTATCTCTACACTCCTCCTTTGCCTTCTCTGTTCCCCTTATTCCCCCCACCTTGTTACTCATGTAGAATGCTTGTACTGCATCAAGCAGCTTACTTCATAGTCTCTTGATCCACACCTTATCATATGTCTTTTCCAGATACATATAGTGATACATACAGTTAGATTAGATAAGTATTCAGTAAGGATAATGGAATGGTTAGAAGATGTCTTGATTCTTTATTTAATGCCCTTTAGAATAACTTTTTATTACTTTACTGCTTGCAACTCTTTTGAGGACTTCATAATCATGACATGTTTACAGGAGACTTTGAGAGCTGCTGCCTGGAGCTGAGGGAATGTCTCCGGGTGACAAAATTGCGATATGGGTCCGAGAGTATCGAGTTAGCACATGAGCTACTCAAGTTCTCAGACGTATTAACACTGGCTTCCGTCTCTAACGATAAGTAAGTGTAGAACTATTCCATACCTAGCCTACCTATACTGTATTCCACTTTGTACAGTAACTGGGATTCCTTCTAAACTTTGAACGATTGTTGAGCAATGACAGTCACGTCACGAGCCAGAAAAAAACATAATCCAGCCATACAACATTTCAAAAGACCCAGTGTATTACTATAGTGGATTTTAAATGAACTGTGTATTATACTATATAGCTACTCCCCGACTTATGACCACCCGGACATATTACCGCCTTAGTCGTACCAAAATTTTGTCAAATTACGTATTTTCGAGTCCCAACGTCAGTACACAGACAAAATTTTTGTTTGTAATTCACTTTAAAATGGCTGGCAAGCTTAAAAGTGAGAGTTTTGTGGTGCTGAGAAGAAAAAGAGACACCCATTTTAGATTTTCTATGTATTATTTAAGCATTTTCGACTTATGACCTGGATTTGGGTCCCTAACCCCGTCGTAAGTCGGGAAGCAGCTGCACTTGTTGATAATTGTGGTCTCTGTAGACTCTTGTTAAGGTTAATATTGATTTTTTACTAAGCCAATTATTGTTGAAATTCAAAACTTTTACCACATTAATCCAGGTGGCATTATATATACCGTACTGTACAAGACTTTGCTTGTTTTTCAGATTCCAAGATGAAATTACAGAAGTGACGAGGAGAATAGATGAAATTTTCACGCTAAATTATGGATCTCAGTGGAAGACATATCTTCGAACAAGTTGTGAATAGAATTTCAATAAACATTTCCAGTCTACCAAACTTTTTCTTTTAATCATCCTTCATCTTTAACTAAATAGATCATTCCAGAAAATATTTTATTTTACTCGTTCAAAAGGCCATTCTGAATCGTCATTATGTTTTCTTAACACTTACAAGTGGTAACAACCTAATGAGGTAGTAACAGGTGTTACCCCGGCATTGGGCATCACACTGCACACAATTCACGGTGCATATCACAGTGTAGTTTTTATGTAAATACGTAGTGTAGTGATGGACTATTTTTACTGATGCATTAATTTTACATTGTTTGATGAGTTAAGTGGGACTTTCCCTTTGCTGATAAGTGAATTTGTGTAGTGCAGGTGGTGTGGCAGGAAGAGAGTGGTATTGCATCACTAGTGGGAGAAAACATCAGAGTTGCAATGCCAAAAAATGTGTTATCAAAGCTGGAACAATCACAGTATTCACAACACTCAGTCATGACCAAGCTTCTTTTATATTGTACTGTACAAAGCTCTGGTTGGGTGGGGTCATTAAATGCCCACCAAACTCACTTCACTTGAAAAGGATTCCTTTTCACATAGTTCATGTTATCAAAATAAAGTACAGTACTGAACTGTACTAAGATATCCTGATACTGTACAAAATTCATACAGACAGACCATTCACAAACATCCACAGTACATGGAGAAGCAATGGCATTCATTAGGCTTTATAAACAATACAGTATCGCCCAACACCAAAACAAATTCTGGGGGTGGGGGGGTTCCAGTCTTGAAAAAAAAAGGTATATATATAATATATATTTGTTGAAAAAATAATTTTTTTGTGGGGGGGGGGGGAGGGAGAGAAATGTTGGGTGATATATAGTTCATACATTGACTTAATTAATATAAATAACAATGGCAGATTAAAAAACCCCAGGATTTTCACCAGTTTGTACCCAGAATATTTAACAAACTTAGCAAGGATTAGGGGGAGTACAGTATATGAACCGGTATGTTCCCAAACAATTCAACATAAAATAAATACAAAACAGATGAAGCTACAGTAAGAGGAGAGAGCGAGTTCCTATATTATTAACTACAGAATGTTATATCGATTTACCATTTACTACTGTAGCTACACTATTCGTGCTGAAAGAATGAATTTGAATTTATATGACAACTTTACTGAATAAATACACAGATCTAATAATTATGAAGTGTTTATTCAGGTTCATGTTGATGCTAGACGCCCTGCCATCTAGGTATTGTCAGCAGCAACAAAACAGTGTTAAGGAAGAAAAGCATGTCTAGATGAGGTAAGCTTGTCACCAAGGAAAGTATATATGAGGAAGTGCGTCTTCCATCTTTGTTATCTCCGATTAGCTCGCCATCTAGTGGCCAGACACCCCTGAGAAAGAACGATTTTCTTTATTTTTAAGGGTATACTATGATAGAAAATGAATATTTACCGAAACTGCTTCTGTTAATGAACACTGATACCTGAACAGTGATTGCCCACTCTGAACAAGGTCGACTAAGATTAAACTGTGTTTGGTCCCATACTTATACCCAGAAGTAAAAATCTGGTAAAAAAAAAAAAAAGAACATGTTTGAAAATATTACAAGAAAGACAGATCAGCAACCTGGGACTTGGTCACAATATTCGTGATGCCATATGGCAGCAGGGTCTACCATTAGACAACATATTATGCTTCCAATATCTTCCCAGGCGGTAGTACCTCCCTGTTTGATAGCTGCCTACTACCTTGAGGACTGGCTGTAGGTAGAAAGAGAGGTAGGTCACCACGAGGTCAGGTCTTATATAGCGGAGGTAGGCGTGGCTTAATAGTTGACCTCCGTCATGTAAGGCGGCGCTGGTTGACCTAGACCACGAGGCATACACTGGGTCGGCTACTCAGCGACAAACAGCGTTTGTAGGGGAGGGATCCACTACAACCTAACCTAACGAAAACTAATCTCGATTTACATAACCAAGCTAACCTAACCCAGTTTTATATCTCATTTCCAAATACCTGTACAGTATGAAAATAAAATTGTCAGAAACAAATAGGAAAATGTTAGTGCAGATTTAATTGTGTTCATAGGATGTGTTGGGTTTGTTTGCTTTTTTCACAGGTTAAGTGAGGTTAGATAAGGTTAGGTCAGGCTTCAATAGGTTCTGTGCGTTATCGTAACATTTTCTTACTTAATATCATCCAAACAAGTTCTCCTGAAAATTTGGTGCAATTCTATAAAGTCCTTCTGGTGCTTACTGTCTCCTATAACATTACCATATTGTGTACTTTTGAACATGAGCCTTGGTTCATGAGTTTTAATCACATCTTAACTGCTTGCTTTTCAAAGTATGTTTTAAACTTGCTACGCATACTAAATATATCCACTTACCTTTTCTTGTCCTTTGAGAAGTAATGAAACCTTAGGTCGTTATTGTTGTTTTTATTTGTGCCCCATACAGCACACCGGTGAAGCCCTTTCCTTCTCGCCAGTTTGTCTCACTCACCAATCACCATGCCCACTGCCCAGTCTAGGCTGTTTGTTTTGACTTGGCTTCTGGGCAGCCTAGAGGCCAAGTCAACACAACGTTTCCCGCCATGTAATCAGTGCCATCTAGTGACCAGGCGCGCGCACTACGGGGATCATTAAGTCGCTTCCTCCTATATACTTTCCTTGGTTGTCACCTTCCCTGACTCCCCACTCTACTCAGCAGTCAGTCCTCACTCACCAGTCAGTGGCAATATGGCGGAGAGGGGGTCCGCCACTCTACTCGCCTTCGGGGCGATTATAGGCGTTTTATTATTAGGTAACGTTATGCCTGTAGGTGCCGACAGTGAAGCTACTTCCATGAAATTCAATAAACTGATGGGACCAACACTAAGGTTCTTGTACTGGTGAGTACATTGTGTTGCATAAGATGATTGTTGGTGGTGACAGTAGTGATGACTCGTCACAACTCTCGGCCTTAACAATAGTAATGAGATTATTTTATGCACTAGTTGTTCAGCTCATGTGAGCCAATTCTTAAGTTATTGGGTTTTATTTATGTTTACTTCCTATCTGTTTTTATACAAGAAGTAATGGGAATATTATTGCGGAAAGTCCTGCCTGGACTCTTTTTTTTATAGGAATTGTCACGTGAAAAATTATCAAATGTTATTTTTATTACTTATCCTGATAAGAAGAAACCATAAACGTACATGATGTTAAGAAATTCCCAATATCAAAAAAGTATTAATATAAATCCATTGTAAGTAACTTATGAAACACAGTTAAAATGTGGGGTAAAAAATGTAAATATAATTTTACAAACCATTAGACTTTCTCGATTTGAATCATGTTTGTTCTTCCCAATAAAGAAAACCACTATTAGAAAGGGTGAACCATAATTAATTTACTCAACTGGAGGTCTGTCTTTTTGAAGCCCAGTTCTTTTTGTGTATCCATAGCCTGAGGTGGTAGACTATATTCCATAGGTCTACCATCTCTGGGCGAAGTCATATAACCTAGTGTTTTACGCATTTTTATGTTCTGAAGAGGAAAGAGAGCTGGTGGCTTCTTTAAACTCCTCAATTGCCCTTCATTGGAAATTGTTTACCATGGAACTACTAATAAGAATACGCTTTCCTAGTGTATTTACGACGTTATTTTGTGGTGTTTTAATAGAATCTGACTTTCTGTCATTGGTAATGAGCCGACAATTTTGTTGGTACAAAGTAGGCAAGGCTTTGAAGTAGAGGGAGATGGTGGGGTTAAAACACGAAGAAGAAAAAACTGACCAAACCAATGACTACTTAACCTAACCTAACCTAACCTAACCTAACCTTCCCTTAATTATCAGATGCTGGAAGATAAAGTGATGCTACTTGTAGGTACTTTGTCCAACCAAATGCTCATAAATGCAAAAACACAGAAGCCATAGTGAGGATATTTCTTTGTCTTGGTGAGTTTCTGTCTTAGTACAAACCAAAGGTTCTTATCGTGACAATAGTGATAGTCTGAACCACATTGTGCACACTTCACAGACGTTGGCAGAATACCATGAGCCTTAAAAATTTCAATAGCAGTGGCTTTATTTTCAAAGACACAACGAATAGTTTGCTAATCTGATGAAGAACACCTGGTGCACAGAGAATTATCATACAACTGTCCAAGCAAATTTAAAAACAAATGCACAGGAGTATCACATGACACTAAGAGCAACGCTGATTGGCAGGGCATAGTTATGCAAGATGTAAACCGTGCCACCTGACAAAGTGTACTGTACAGTAAACCCTTGATAACTCGGTACATATGGGGCTTAGGCCTTGACGAATTGTCCCAAATTCCGATTTACTGAGGCACTTTCCTCCCGCCTACAAAAATACAACTGCAGGCGATGATTGAAGCACCATAGTAGGTGACACAGGTATGATAGGTGACACAGGTATGGTAGGTGACACAGGTAGGTAGGTGTCGAGTTATATGAAATTCCGAATCATAAAATGCCGAGTTATCAAGGGTTTACTGTACAGTACTTTCTTAAGTTGAATTGAAAACTCCAAAAAAAAATTTGAAAACTATAAATTTGTGACAAGCGTAACAAAATAAAGTACTGTACTGTATATATATATATATATATTGTGTGTGTATATATATATTTTCTGTATCTCGATACAGTTCTGTATACTGTAAATATTAATACAAAGTTCCGTAGTACACAATTTCCAAATCTAAACCTAATTTATTTATTATCATCTCAGTTTCAGCATTTCTATGTGCAGTCTTTTCAGAGAATGTATTGTGGAATCTATAAGATTAAGAATTGGATCTATATTTTAAAGTCTCGGTGAGTACAGTAATATGTACAGTACAGTACAGGTGCTCCTCTACTTACTTAACGAGTTATGTTCCTGAGGCTAGTTTGCAAGTCCAACTTTACTCTTGTAGATACCAAACATAAAAATAAAAAGATTATGGTTATTTAGTACAGCTGTACCCTTTAATACAGCCTTAAAACCTGGCTCACTCTTCTCCTCTTAGGTGATATTTGTTCTATCTGAATTTCTTCAAAATAATCCAGTCTCATCCACATTAAACATGTTCTGGCAGGTAAACCCCCCCCAAGTGATGATGTTTGTATCTGAAAATTTGTAAGTTGAATGTTCTTATGTAGAGGAGCACCTTATGGTTGCAATGTTTTTGTCAGTGTTATTACAGTACAGTATTATATTTTAATGGTTTTACAGTCTTCCCTGACTTATACGGGGTTAGGGACCCAAATCCAGGTCATAAGTCGAAAATGCTAAAATAATACATAGAAAATCTAAAATGGGTGGGTTTTTTTTCTTCTCAGCACCACAAATTTCACTTTTAAGCTTGCCAGCCATTTTGAAGGGCATTACAAACGAAAATTTTGTCAGGTACACAGTCAATCAATAACGGCGGACTCGAAAATACGTAATTTGAAAAAATTTTTGGTACGATATGTCCGGTGGTCGAAGTCGAGTAGGTCATAAGTCGAGGAGTGGCTGTACGTATATAAATTTTCACGATCACAGTCCTGAAAACCATAAAATCGTTGCTTTTGTCACCCTGTACAGTACACCTCAAAATAAGTTAAAAGGGCATTGCTGTGATTCATCGTGCTTTTACTGTACTGTATCTCTTAAGTGCTGAAGATGTGGAGGACAAAGCCCATTTGCAGCAATGTTTAGACATATACCCTTTACTTACATCCTAGGTTAGGTGGTTTTGTTTGATTAATTATCATATCTACAATAAATTCTAATAAGATATGCTGGAAGTGTCCATGTGTATGGAAAGTATGACACTGCTTCTGGGAGGTGTTCTTGTGTGTTGCAAAACTATTGGTACTACAGGTACTATTATTAGGAAAGTTGCAAATCCTACTGTTTATCCTTTTGGGGATATTCTTGATGTTGTTTCATAGTAGGTTTGAAACAGACTAGCATTTATGTCTGAAACATTATTCCTCCTCTTGCTTACATAAAACGCTAACTGAAGTTATTAGCTTTCCAATGAACAAATAAGGTGGTGGCTAGGGCCCTTTAAAGCATGGAGATCTGAGATTAGTACATGAGTAATGCTTGTGTTAAGATGGTGTCCTTAGAGTGTGATGTCAGATATTTTCAAAGAAGCGATACAATTGAAGATGAAATGCTTGAGGCACCATTTTTTTCACCACTTACCAGCTATTCAGGTACAGTAGTTGGTCTGTCTAGTGTTTGTACACGGGAAACAACAGTACTATACTTGAAGGAAACCTGTGATGTTTGGTGGTGTCACACTGTGTCCAAGCCAAGCAGAACTCAAACTCTTGACATATTGGCGAGAGATCTACCTGGTACACTTGTTACCGCTAGAGTACTACCAACACCCTGTTGCAAAAGTGGGAATTTGAATTTTGTTGAGCATAAACAATATTTGGGTGGTTATAAAAATTGCATTTGTATTAAACCATTTTTGCAAAGCTAGTATAAATGAGAGCAACCAATAGAATCAGTTTTAAGGAGTTACACAGATAACCCCATATTTCATGTCGACCACAATGGAAACATGGACAGATAAATTCTATAAAATCACACAGGAAAAGGAAACTGTGTGGTTTATCGAGACATTACCCCATGTGTTTGAGGCCTATTTACAATGAAGACAGGCCTTCATAAGGAGAATATGTTGATATTAGTTTATTCATGTTTTGGGAATACTGTAGTATGTTGTCAAGAGGTTAAGGAAATCAAGTATACAGTATAGTGGATATTTATTCCACTAAAACCCTCCAATCTGTACAAGGTACAGTAATATTAATTCAGCTTAGGGTGTTGTAGAGTGAATGTCTGGATTGGAGCAACACTTACATTTATCCCACCACCACCACAAAAAAAATATACCTTCATGCTCTTCAAATCTGTTTAAAGTATAAAGGTACAATAAGGATGAAGACTTGTGGAGACTGTTGCTCCCTCCAGTTTTAGCTCGGCTGATTTGCTCTGGCCTATGTTTATTTAGGGCCTATGTGACAACAGAACATGGGATGTCCGCCTGGTAGCGAGAGCAATTCATGCTATGACATCAAGACAGCAGAATGGTATGTGTATTGTACTGTCAAGTGTTTGTCACTGGCTCAACCCATGGAGGAGTTACATGTGCATGTAACCCACCCACCCCTTTTTTTTCCTAAAGCCAGATTCGTGTACAAGGGGCTGATGCTGAATCATCCAGCAGATCCAAATTTGAGATGCTTTAATGTACAATATTTTGTAGAAGCATTTGCTCTTTAATTTCATGCTATTCTGTTAGTGTTCCTGCTTTCCTTTAGATAAATTACCATTACAGTAATTATTTAGTACCTGTAATGTATATATCAATCAATCAGAGTATTGTACCATCCTCATATCTGAGGGTTAACGACCACAGTCCTCCATTCTAAATGTTCTCAGGCTGTTTTACCAATCCTCCAAGGTTTTATATCTCTGGGGAAGTTTTTAATTTCATTCATCCGTCCCAGTCTCTGCCTTCCCCTGGCCCTCAACTTTGCCCAGTAATATTTTTTATTATCCCTCATCCCTAATTATATGACCAAAGTATCTCATTTTTATTTTTCTGTACATTTCGTGTATTTCTTGAAGTACGATGTGCCAATATTTATATGTCTTACAGCTACTCGTGAGGATACAGGAAGGTGTTTGAGCAGTATGCCAACATCTTGCGTGAGAAATATCCAGAATTATCCATTCTCGGGGACAACTATCCGCCTCCAGATTGGAAACTCTGGCTTGCAGTTGTTTGGTATGTGATGAGCTATTTTTTGTACCATTTATACATTGAGAAAAAATGTGATTTGTGAATGATCTTATTGTAAGTCTGTTAATATTGTATATTTGTGATATGTTAACTAGTTGTTTCAATTAATAAAACTTTTTTTTTTACCAGAGTGGTGCCAAACTCCTGTTTATAGTCATGATTGTAGCCAACATCAACATGTGGGAATGGTTAGGGCAGGAGACACCCTCTTGGTGGACATGGTTCACAACTAACAAGATTTATGCATGTATGATGGTGTTTTTCCTCTGTAATGCTGTAGAGGGGCAACTAGTATCAACGGGTGCATTTGAAATTTCTTTCAACGGTGAGTAAGCAAGCTTATTCTAATTAAATGTTTGGCTGTTGTGACATTCATTTATTACTTTTCTATTCGCACTTAAGAAACTGTCATTTGTGTTTTAACTGTATTGAAATCATATTTGCCAGTAATAGATATAAGAGAAGTATCAATGTATCTGGTAGCATGTAGATAATTTAATGTGTTCATTGTTAGAAGACTGAAGCATTAGTTCCAAGTAGCAGTTGTATTATAACTCGCTGTAAGATAATCATTTTAGATCATTTACTTTATATAAGTTAAGTGTTCCTATTATCCATTTTTGTGGGTTAGATAAAAGTAATTTGATCAAATGTCACAAGAATAATTTTGCTCATCCTAATTTTTAGTGAAAAATAATTTTTTTGTCAATCACTGTTACGAGTCACAACTATTACAGATGTTCCTGTTTGGTCTAAGCTGGAAACAGGGCGTATTCCCCAGCCTCCAGAGCTCTTCCAAATCATTGATAACCACGTACGGTTCAACCAAAACACAAACACTTGGAGTGATAGCATATAACCTTAAGGTAAGTTAGGTGATGTATTATGATTTCATTTTTTTGCTATTTATGGAAACCCTGTTCACTGCTAAGAGGGTGTCTGGGTATTGAGAGTACAGCATTGGTCATGTTTAGCAGAGTTGGGCATTTGAAGAATGGAGGAGACCAGCTGGGTAAAGGGATGCATGAGTTTGAATGTTGAAGATAGGCCAAGAAGACTATGGGGAGTGATTTTAAGGAATGACATCAGAGATAAGAACCTGAAGAGAGAGGCTGCAAGAAAGTGTGTAGATGTGGGAGGTAAATTTGCAATATAGGAGTGTAGGTTTAATTTTGAAACGGAATGTGTTCATAAAGTTAAAATGTTGACTACTAAGAGAGCTCATGCTCTTAATTTTCAATATTGTTCTTATTATCATCCACTCTGTATCTGTATTTTCTGGCTAAATAAATGGTTTCAATATAAAAAAAGGCACCAGTTGAAACCAACCTCCCAACCCTAATTACAGGTTATGTTTTCAAGAACTGGCCTCTAATTTATATTCAATTTCTCCATCAAAAGCAGAAGTTCTGTACAGGTATCCCTCGTTTAATGATTGGGATGCACTGCTGAAAAAACGATTGTTAGGCTAATGAGGAATAAATACAGTAACCGTGGAGATGGCTCTAATTGTATAGCCAAATTGCCAAATTCGCCACCCATTAGCACTCAGAGTGTGTGAGGCTGAGCTATGTTACTGTTCAGCTCATAATTTTGGGTAGATATACGTAATTTTCTTATTTTCTTTACTCTGTTACATGCACGCCCAATCTTTCATACAGAATGTGCAAAAAACATTAAAGTATCTATCATAAGGTCAGAATTAAAAATACTAAACATTTCTTACGTGTTCAGCAGTTAGCCCACAGAGCAGGGTAATGGGAGGGGGAAGCGCGAGGGGATCTCAGCTGTTCTGTCTTGTGTCCCGACTGTCAAATAACAATGCTTTTTTTTTTCTCTCTCTCTCTCTCTCACACACACATTTACTGGTACAGTCAGTATAAACGCAACACAGTTCATCTGGGCAGTCACCAAGCTGACATCACGTAGGGGGGGAGGAAGATTGCGACACACAATTACAACTCACTGCCTCAATGCTTATGTTCACTTCCCACACATGCACACCCATGCTCTTTTATTTTCTTATTTTATAGTTTTATACACTAGTATACTGTACTGTTCTCTAAAACTATATAATACTGTACTTTATACTGTATTTTTTTACAGGCTTAGCCTGTTGTGCACTAGGAGCACATAATCCCCAGTTTTTCTGACTTCCCTCCTAAATTTTTCCCAGCGAGTCGAAGATCACTCACCCGAAAATTGATAATTGCTAAGTGAATGATCATTAAATGAAGGATACCTGTACATAGTTTATAAAAAATTATGTTTCTCAGTTCAATGTGTACTTAAGTAGTCAAAGAATTTGTTTTCCCCGTTTCAGGGATAAAGTTCTTGACCACACGAATGCATTTCCAATTGTACAATGAATATCAAATAGGAGAATATGTTTTGAGTTAGACCTCTTTTTAAGGAACATAATCCTTCCCTAACTTGAGGATGTCTTTCCGCATAAAACATGGAATTATGGTGTCGTGGAATACTATTTTATGGAGCAGTGCATGCATACCACAATTCAATCTGTCGGTACGAGAGGGTAATACCTCCATCACCTCTTGCAAAACATATGACCCATATAGGACCTCATGCTATTTTTTTTTCCCAATGTTCAGAAAGTTTTAAGATTTTACTGCATTTAGAATATCATGTTCCTTTGGAAAGAAGAAAATATATGTAATTATAAACAATTCAAGATTAATTTTTATTTCACACTTCCAGATGAACTTAATAAAGCCCCGAGCACCAGAGCAAAGCCTTCAATTCATGCAATGCCCAGTGTCCTGATCAGAAAGTCATTAAGAAAATATTCGATATGCATCTGTGATTCATATGTTTGTAATTGGCAGTAGGTTGTAATTTGAAATGGATTTTTACCTCACCTAATGAAGACATTATGTATGTAAGGAACCAATTATGGGGCTAAAGTGCTTCCCTCCCCTTGAGATCTTAGGCAGCTACACTACCTTATGCTTCTGTCGTTACTGCTTTTTTTTGTGTTATGAAGGTCACTGTTGAAAGCACCTAAGTGTTGACTTTGGCTGGAAGCTTTTCTTTTTTGCAAAGTCTTTGCAGTGAAATAGACATAGGTTGTGATGCTGACTTTGATTATTTCCTAAGTACCATTAAGTTGCAACTGATAAAAGAGTAGATGCAGGTGTTATATGCATACTGTATATGGTACGAATTTTATACTTATTGTTTTTCCTTACTTTTAATACAATATTTATATGATATTTGTGAATATATAACTAGATATTTTTGTGTAGGTAATGTAAATTGATATTTCTGGACCGTGTGAGTGCTTTTGTCCATGTAACCTAGATGATGTTGATCATGTGGTGTGTAAATTCTTGTTACTATGTTATAAAAGCAAAGAAATTTTTGTCGTAAATTAAAATTTTGGTGAATCACTGGTCTTTTGGCTAAGTTTCACAGCCCTGGACAAACTTACTGAAACTAAGAAATTATTCAAAATTTGCTTACTTTTGATAGATACCCAGTGTTTCTTTTGTAAAGGAAATTAGAATCCAAGTCCTCTAGTCTTGAAATTATTGTACATCCCCAATTTTCTTTTCTGCAAATTAATAGGAAAAATTTAACAAACTCTGTATTGGTAAAGTTTTGACTTTTCCACAGTAGCACCTGTAGAATGAATATAGTAAACAGTATGATAAAATGTATTGTTTCCTTTTCTTGTTAGTGTATCAGTTGTTAATAAAATATTTGAATGAACAAGAAAGTGTTAAAGGATGTATACAAGACAATGATAGAGTCAGAATGGAAATGGTTTAATGTACGATGGATAATAAACTGAAAGGATAGCTGTTAGTGATCGTATGTGTACTGACAAAATTTTCGTTTGTAATCCCCTTTAAAATGGCTGGCAAGCGTAAAAGTGAGAGTTCTCGTCGAGATGAGAAGAAAAAGAGACACCCATTTTAGAATTTCTATGTATTATTTTCGGCATTTCGACTTACGACCTGGTCTTATGGATGGAACCCCTGCGTAAGTCGAGGAGAGACACCAGGCTGTCACCCAATGCGTGTGCCGTGACACCACATTGGGGGAGGGAACCCACCTAGTTGGCAAATCGACATTGCAATTATACATAGAAATAATACATAGAAATTCTAAAATGAAATACAGTTCAGTAAAAGTAATCAATAATGAAAAATTAATAAAGTGTTACTGTGAACTTACCTTTAATGTAGTCAGCTGAATGCACACAGGGACTCAATAATTTTTTAATTAAGCATGGAGACTACATTAATTGGATGAAGCAGAGGAGGAGACAGGGCTGGGTGGGTCATTAAGTTCGCTTTCTTCAGACAGGCTAACATACTTGCTTGTTGAAGGTATTGGATCATCTTTAAGGAGTGAAGAGGCAGCAGTGATGGGGCGTGAGGAGACAGCAGTGGGGGACTTCTTAAAAAATATGTCCAATTTAGACTGCACAGTTTGCCTTTTCTTTTTATTGTAAATCTCCTTGTAGCAAGCAAGTGCATCTTGGATCAGTCTGTCATCTTTTGCAAAACGCTCAAGATTTTGACACATTTCTTCAAACATTTGCATCCCCTTATTAATATTAGCAAATGCCTCTGCCATTTGTTTCACTAAAAACTTTTTGGGGGTAGGTTCTACATTTACTCTTCTTCCTCCGCAATTTTCTGTGCACCTTGTTCAATAAGATCCTCGTTACTTAGCTCTTCTGCTACACACCACCAACTGCTCAACATCTTCATTCACTCTCAAACTGTAAAGTCGTATCAAATTATTACACATTTTCATTATTTTCACTGACAAAGAATTCCCAAATCTCTCATTATTTTCTCATAAACCCTTGCAAGCTCCATGATATGGTTCTGCTGGTGCCATGGTGCCTGAACTACAGGTTGGGGACCACTGCTGGGATTAAAACACAAATATCTATTTTTGTTAATTTTTATGTGTATAATAATAGAAAATACAAAACTACAGATAATAAGTTTGGAAGTAACTGTTTAGACCTCACTATCCCTGCCAAGATGATCCTCATGTGCATTTGTAGAAGCTGATGTGTACAGTCAAAGACCAAAGTCGTGCCCAGAAAATTGGCAAAATATTTTGTTAATGGCAAACAATTTGGCGCGTTCTTCCCCGTATCATTGGAACAAACGGATTCAGGCTTTTGATATCGTTTGTTAGATGTACCCTGATCATTGGACAGAATGAGGACACAACTTTTGTGTTTGACTGTACAGTACCATGGAATATTATGTACTAAAAGCATTATCAGTGCAACAGCAGTATAAATTTTTTAATTGTACTAAAAGTCTCTGTGCAAAGAACCCAACACTGGTTTTGGTCTGGACTCCTGGTAGTCCAGTATTCATGTTATAAAAACTTATTAGTTACTGAGGGTACATGAATATATGCTTGGATTGAACCCAAAAATTAAGTTTTAATGATCATGTTCTGGCTAACAAAAGTCCAATAAAGTCAAGCCACATCAGTCCAGTAATGTGAAGTTTTATTGTATTCACATTACTGTACATTAATTTCCAACAGTAATAAAATATTGAGATTACAATGTACAGTACCAGTAATGACAAAATAAACTTAATCATAAACAATTCTTTCTTGTAAAATTTAAAACTTTTAGTGGTTATTAATATAAAAGCTTTGTAAGCAAGAACTATCCATAATAATACATGATGATAATATTAAGTGAATAAGTAAATATGTTCAATATTGCTGTAGAAAGTATGAATACAGGTATATTCTAGTCTGAAATAATGCCTACAGTGCTTATCTGTTTACAGCTCACTTAAACATACACACATATGTAAGGTGGGCACGCTCACCTTATTTTTTTGCACCACAACCAATTTCAATAAGTTTTGCCAAGAACGCTAACTTAAAAAAATAATAAATAAACAAATACTAAATTTTTTTGGCCTATTTACAAGTAAAACAAAATAAAATTAATAAAAAAAAGTTAACATTATCAATATTTTATCACAAAAAAAAAAAGCTCACTGCCACTGGCCTCAGTGGACTGGCTGTCAACAGTCTCAGTCACTTCAACTATGCGGTCCATGTCCTGTCGGCAGCAGGATCACTGTTACCGCCACAGACTCCTTCTCCTTCCTCCGTCACAAAACGATCCAGTGCTACCGACTGCCTGACTGGTTATGATATGAAATATCCTTCCTTTTTCACAGTTGAGATTTCATCTTTCACATTAACTCTAGTTTATGTGAAAGATGAAATCTGGCAACTACAGCGAGGAAAGGGGAGCGACGGAGGTGGGGGGAGAGTCTCATCTGGTTTACAGTTCAGAAATATGCTGCCCGACCTGTATCATGTGTATGCTGAATCATTCCGTCAGAAACAGAAATTTTCGGAATGCGCGGCTCTAGGGATGCCTATTTGTTTATGCGGTCGTATTCAAATTTTCCATTATTGCCGAAAAATTTTGCACGTTGCGCTTGTGGTTGAAAATGCTTGTAAAAGTTGTGCCGCAACTCTCTGGAAAAATGTGCGGCAACCAAAAAGTTATGGCACAAGTTGCGCTGCAACTTTTATGAACTGCCCACCTTTGCACATATAAAGGGTTAAAGAACGGTACTGTACATAACTCTGGAAGCTCTCAACTTGATAAATTACCACACAGAAATCACGTCATATGTGATCCAAGGATACAATGCTTAGTCCTTTAGATCACCTATTCCATCAGCATATATCCCAAACATGGTCTCTGCTTCAGGAAGACAAGGAGAGTCATATATTTTACAGATTCTTGTTTCTCCTCTACCTTTTCTTAGATACAACCTAAAGAAATAAAGGTTCAACAAAACTTGCTTGAAGAAATATAATCTTTTTAAGTCCACTAATATAAGTAAATATATTGTAATAAGTATTTACAGGATATTACCTCAAAACCAAAGCTTAAAATACGTGAAAATCTAGCTGTTCACTAACTTTTGAGAAACCTTTGTTTACTCAATATTTCTTTACATCTCTCCTGTTACAATAGAGTAAAGCCTCGAATAACGACGGTAGTGTCTCCCAATAGTGCAGTGTAACGTGAATCATCGACGTGAATCATTAATTACCATCAAAATAAAACGATAATAATGAGATGCATCCAAAGTCTGACCTTTTCATATCTTTTGTGTGGCTTTTTATCCTTTTTTTCCCCAAAACAATAATATTAATGAAAAATGCAAACAATCTTCTTTAAATAATGTTTGTGAATGAACCTTATACAATATAAATCAATAATAATATGGTCACACAAGAGATGGGACTAATTGTTGTTGTCAGTGTTTACACCCATAATGTCAGTTATCCATCTGAAACTGAAGAATATAAGACCCTGGTTCTTGCTGTAGTAAAATTAATGCAAAAAAATTTGTATTTTTTAATTAATGTTATTTAATATACAGTAGAAGTAAACCATTGATGGTAAAGAAAAGAAAATGTGAGACTAATAGCAGAATGCCAACATATACGTGTGCACTCAAGGAAACAGCTATTGATCTTATTAAGAATACATACAAAAGATTCATTATTGTTTATTACTGAATGTGTATTTGAATGAATTAATGTTTATACTGTATATGCGAAATGAACAATACAATACATTAATAATACGTAGAATATTAAAACACACAAGAGGAAACGAGACGGTATTGTTTTCGTTAATGTTTTAACCCGTGACGAAGGTTCTACATATGAAACTGAAAAAAATAAGGCCCTGGTTGTAGCGGTTATAAAATTAATAGAACAAAATTAATATGTACATTTTTAAGTAATGTTATTTAATGTTAATAAATGGAACAATAGAAATAGCTAACCACTAATGGTAGAGAAAAAAAGGCGAGACGGATTACATAGAAACAAAAGTATGTAAGTGCATACATGTGAAAACATATCTTCATTTCTCTACATAAAAATATGAAAGCAACACTTTTTACTGTTCACATGTTTTAAATAATACCCACTAATGTAAAACAAGAATTCTATTCACCAATGGTCATAAAGTCAAAAACATAAGGACAGCCAATGAATGTTGTTGTACGAGTTTTTACTCAGATGATGAAGTCATAAGGTTCAACTCTGGCTAAAGCTGTAGCTTTTCATAAATATGTCATAGCTGTTGTTGAACCTGAAACTGTTGCTGAAACTGTTACTGAACCTGTCGTTATTGCTGAAATTGCTGCTAAATTTGATGGTGTAGCTTAACCTGAAGTTGATTCTGGAGCTGTACCTGAAGTTGATGGTTTAAGCCTTCGAATAATAAAGCTGTCGAAAGAACCTTGCACAGCTGCTTTCTTTTCTCATTATACATCTTTATGAAGAGGTCATATGCGTTTTTCATGGCCCTGTTAATTTTAATGCTTCGTTCTGTTAATGGATCCACTTCAGAAAATATGTTCACTGCTTGTTCCATATAATATCCACAGACCTCTCACCTTTTTCATATCATTTTAACACCTAGTTTTCTGGCTAAGCTTATACACTTTCTTTTAGCTTTTGAACCAGCACTACCATCACTTGCTCTCTTGCCCATGTTGAATAGGGACACAAAAATCCCATAAAAAAACGAAAAAGTTTTTTTCCTTCTCCTGTTCTGATGCGTACAAAGGCCCGCCAAGCTGCGACTGTTTATACCAGTGATGCTGTCACCACTCACAAGCCCAGCAGTCTCCGTGCAAAAAGCATTTTTTTCTTTTCTTTTTGTAGAATACAGTACATACCGAGATTTAGTTATAATTTATATGAAAATTTAATTTTAATTTATTTTTTATTCTATTTTCGTCATAAATACAAAGAAAATAATGGTGTAAACTGAATTGGGTCCTAAATTAACCAGGGTCTTAAATAAGAATCGTAGTTAGTAGCACCGTCGTTATCGGAGGCTTTCCTGTATAGATCTTAAAAAACTGTCCCTCCAACCCCAATAAGGGGGAATGACTGTTCATATGATAAGCACCAATACAGTATTACCACAATTTCACAACAGGATTCTTGAGCGGACAATTTACTCCTCTTCTTCACCTGTTACAACAATTACTAGTCACCGACAATAATCATCCTAAGCTTCATTTTGGTAAAAATTATGTGTGTATATATCTTAACAATAAACACCAATTAGATACAGTCTTAACCACAAAAAATTATAATCCAAGGGTAAATGTTTTAACGTTGGCTAACTTTCACCAAAACCCAAACCTCCACGAACCAGGATTCATTTTTACCTTCAAACATAGACACAAGGGAAAACAAATTCAATTAAGTGTCCCTCTTCCTTTCAGGGCTATAGGATGAAAATTACAGGAGTCTTACCTTGTTGTAGAAGAATGAGCCATTATGTGTCCTCCAACTGGTTTTTTGGGGTCTGCTCCAAACATGGCTGCTCCATCCACCTGAGCAACCACTTGGTTTGTGATAACTATAGCAACACCAAACTAAACAAAGAGAAAGAGAAGATGACCTTTCCAGTCCACTTTAACTTTTCAGTGGGAAGCTAAACAGACACCTTCCCTAATTCATTTGCAACTAATGAAGAAACAACAATATATGGTGACTCCTTGTATACAATGCATAACACATGCAAATAAAGCATGATAAACTTATATAACCCCAAACTGTACCTTATATTAAGTATAGAAATAATTATAATAAATATAGATGTGTTTTGATGGCTATGCATTGCTTACTATTCTTATAACTATTGTATTATTGAAAATCATTATGCATCTGGGCTAAACAGTTCTGATTCACTCATTATTTTATTCAGTTTCAGTACAAATGGCTTCACACTTTCAATATCACCACTTAAGAGCCTCAACACAGATTTTTGTGTTTGAAATATTGAGCCTTTTCCAAAAATGCCACAACCACCCACTGCTGGCAAAAAACAAGGAATAGCTAGGTGCTTAGCAAGACTTTTGGTATGACACTAAATCTCAAACACTACCACCACTAGAACGATGCTACACATAGTACCACTTGTAGACACTTTCCAGTTGTGTATCCCTAAGTTGTTTTAAAGTCATTCTTAGTGACACAATACTGTTCCTATACTACTAGAACTTGACATCAAACTTTAAAGTAAACTGCTTTAATTTGTCATTATTATTTACTCCTCCTTTAATATTCTCCCTCTCTCTCGCAACATTTCTCAACTTACTTACAAAATTCTTTTCCTCCACAACTGTGTGATTCATTTTATCATTCACTGATCCACAAGATGATACATTCAATCCTAAATACCTGAAACCCCTCACTTCCTCCATTCATATGAACCTTTATAACTCTACATCTCCTTCCTATAGTTATTTTCTTACATTTTGTTCACTTTCACTACAGTGTATTAACTTTCTTCTACACGGTGTCACTGGCCAGACAAAAAAAATTCCTGGATTTTCCAGGTTTTCCAGGTGTAAATTTGAAAAATCCCAGGTATATTAATTTGGTATTTACTATGACAGAATATTAAAACTAGAGGTTTTCAAAAATACAGTATGTATATACTATTGGGAAATTTAAAGGTGATATAAATGATAATAATCAGGAAATTGAAGACCCTTTCCCAACCCACCCCAAGCCTAGTGATGAACATTGGTAAAGACCTTGACACCCCTCCACCTCCTATTTTTCTCCTCAGATTTGTGCGATTCACGTGGACTTTCCAAAAAACCAAAAAATCCGCAAAAACTAAAAATCACACTCCTGATCCACCTATATGACTCATGATTAATATGTGGAATAATCCACTTAAATAAAGTCACTTAATTATCAGAACAATTCATCTCTAACAATACTCACTGCAGAATTAGTAGGTATAGCTTGTAATATTTGGTTATTTGATCACTTACTGTACAAGAAATATGATAGGTACTGTACACAAACAATTCAGTTATTGGAGTGGACTATTTTCTGGAATTTGGTCCTAAACGTTTAATTATTTACCTATTATACAATACAGCTGCAGCATTAATTTATGGTAAGACTGCTGTAAAAATAACAATACTGTATTTTGAAACTGAACTGAATTCACATAAATTTCCAGGTTTATTTGTAAAATTCTGTATTTTTTCCAGGCTTTCCAGCCCAAAATAAAATTCCCTGCCTTTTCCAGGTTTTCCAGGCCAGTAGACACCCTGTCCTAGTATATAATGTTCCAAATTCCATTACAAAGAGGAGTAAATTTTTGGGGGTGAATGCCTACCAAAGCAGTATTGACACCACAGCGGTCAACTCACCATACACCATGTACCCCAATTTACTAAACTAGTTCCCCTCTCCACTACAGCATCAGGGGCAGATCAGGGGAGGGTCCAGACCACCCCCTTTTTCATCAGAAAATCCCAATACCTTTTCTTTAATGTGGATCTATACTCAGGCATTTTTGTTTAGTAAAAAGTAATTACTGTTGACATCAGAGTATCTCCGAATGTCAAGTACTTCAAAATGGCCTCAAAATGCCCATGATATTGGTCAGATTTGAAAAAAATTCAGGGGGCTTACAGCTCCCTCCAACACCCCAGGAAGTGGGCTCACTGAGCTTGCCATGTCCCCCCACCACAACTTCTTGGATATTCCTGGATCTGCCCCTGAGTATCCATCTCTCTTACTGTCTCCTACATGAAAATATTATACAGCACTGCCCCTCACAAACCACAAAATTTGTTATATGTGGGAGATTCAGAAGCTAACTACTGTACCACTTTTCATCAATGATACACACAACTGCCTCTGCCATTATAGCTGGTAAAAATTCATGTACAATTGGCTGAAGCAACATTCTGACAGCTCTCCCTGCTGATAGTCACAAGCAAAGAAAGCTTTATGAAATTATATGACTTACTCACCCAGATTCAGATTCTTACATCTTTCCAAAAACATAAAAAAATTAAAATTTTAGTTTACTTAAGTATATTAAACGTTATCCACCTCATCGGCCAATCTAAGAAGTGCAAAAATCTTGACAAGTGATTTTGTCTGGCAGATAGTTCCCCTCGACCACTATAATCTGTCCGGTACAATGCCATAGCACTGTCTACAATACATAAGGCATATCTGAAATGTTTTAATTCATTTTATAATACTACTCCATAGGTTCCCCACCATACTGTAGGACCATTTACAAAGGTTATATATTACAGTATACAATATCATAAACTTCTGTTGTAAAACTATATTGATCCTGAGCTCACTGAATAAGCTACCAAAAGTGACAAAATATTCAAGTAATGCGAGTACTACAGTAATAACCGATAATTGTTGTTGTATACTTTTCTCTTAAGTAGAGAACTTTAATTACCATAAATGAGGGACTAATCCTTTTGCAATACACTACACTAGCCTAACCTATCTGACCTAACTGCTTATGCCCTTATGGGTGATAGATTGGTCTTGTATTCTAAATGAGGTGAATGTAGCAGTGTGGGTGTTGGTGATGCCTAGACTGGATTACCTTATTTAAAATCTCCTAACACCTAGAGAAAATGTTATAACTATGGGTAATCCCTTTTGTCTGAGGTGAACAGTGTGAGAGGGGTAGACCAGGATACCAAATGAGTTAGAAGTCAACCCTGGCTTACATTATGGGGAAAAGAAGGTAGACCCTAGTTCCCAAGCACATAGTCTGTATTACAAGAGTTGCCTGGATCTAGGACCTATGCTATAAATAGTATAAATCATAAAGATACCAACGTACTGTATTAAATAACAACTCACCTGGCTTCTGTCATCATGGCTGCTGCTTGAACCAACAGTTGTGTCTGCTGGTCAGAAATAGCTCGTGCAAAGGCTACATTGTCAAGAACATCAGCACCTGAGAGTCCAAATTTGTCAGCAACAGCCAGAAGACGTTCAGGCCTAAATGATCCCTCTGTATCAATGTACAGGCATTTTCCTTCACCACCACCCATTTCCAGTGGAAGCTGAAACATTAGTCTAAGATTTAACTAATGCACCAAAGGATTTAAAAATTTCCTGCAATAATTTTTTTTATAGAAAAAAACTATGATCAACATGTATGGGTCAGCTTGATGTACTGTGCTAGACATCATATGGAAGAAGAAGAAGAACTAATCTGAGTGTTGAAAGACATTGGTCCATAATACTGTATTCTAGCTAACTTTTTTTCATTTCTATTGTCTCATATCTGCTGTGTAAATAAAATTATATACTAACCATCTTAATGTACAGATGAGTAGCCATACAGGCTGAAAGTGGTATCGCGTACTGTACGCTATATTTATGCCATTTTGTTTAACAAGTGTCCACTGTCCAGGTATGACACATTGGCTAGCAGTTGGAACGCACTCCGGATATACAAACAAAAACATGGCAACAGTTGTAGAACTGGTTTACTGGCAGAGGAATACTGCCATCCTTCACACAGCTCTCAGTGGCACATGGGTTCATACAACAGTCACCTCCTTAACCCTTTGTGAGAGGCTACCCTAAGCTGAATAAAATCGTCTGGCGGTAGCCAGAATAAAATGGCAAATGCGGGAAACGCAGCAAAAGGGTTAAGAACATAATGCTAGAAAAATGTCTGTCTTCAACATACCAGAAACACTCACCTGACAAGTAACAGCCAATGAGTGGCATAGCTGTGTCTTGCCAGTGCGGAATTCTCCAAATATTTCTGTGATGGAGCCTGTCTCTATCCCACCTCCTAACAATTTATCCAACTCTTTTGAGCCTGTAGTCAGCTGAAAGAATCATATAAAGAAATGAGAAATATTATAAATAAATTAAGTAGATTCTGAAATGGCACACTAAATTTAACACCATCAAATAAAAATACAGGGGGTCCCCGGGTTACAAATGGGCTCCTTTCCAAAGAACGTTCGTAAGTCAGAACACATGCTATATGCATACCGTACTTACAAAACAATGATTAAAATCCCACTATATCATAGTCTAAGTCCTTATATACATATAAAATCACTTAATTTAAGACAAAAGAAATAGAATAACAAAATACAGGAAATGAAAATAAAAATAAGTCATCAGGTAAATAAAATACTATAAATTTCAAATTTAACCCCATTCGAATCAGCGAGTGTTCATAAGTCGGACATTTGTAAGTCGGACGTTTGTAAGTCAGGGACCTCCTGTACTATACAGTACTGTACTGTAATATGAAAAAGTTTATACTGTATTACTGTATGTCTTAATAAGATTTTTCAGAAATAAGAATTAAACAACTCTATTTTTGTTGAATCTTTTCTTGATACTTCCCCTAATGCAGTTAAGGAATGGCAAGCTTTTTCACCAAGCCTGTAAACACTTCAACAATTGCATTAACTCTTCTGGGCATTAAAATAACTATAATTTCACCAAGATTAATTACTTAGTGTTTCTCTGTGAAGAAGCATACAACTCGGCAGATAAATGAAGTGGAACGTGAACATAACCTATTCATCTTTTGGCCCTTCAAGGAACTGTTCTATTCAACAATTACAATGGGAAACATGAACCGTAATTTCTGTATAATAGTACCACCTAACAATGTTGAGGGATAAACCCAGACTTGACTATACTGTATACTATACAGTGCAGTTCATGATCTTCAAGGACCAAAGCAAGATTTTAAAATTCCCTTTCAGACATACTCTGAATCACTCTTCTACCTACACCAGGGGTTGAGATATGACTTAGAAATTCAGCCATTTGCAGGACCCCTAAAAAGAATGTGTTAGAGCTCACTGTATCTTTTGTTGAATTAAGGGGTGTCCCAGCTGAAAATATTCAGAAAAATTTCTGAGGAAAGCTGTTGTCTATGGCTATCTGCTGATGTATTTTGATTGCATAATTCATATTACTGTATTTCTGTAGCTATGCATAATTGTTCCCCCCCCTTCATTTAGAGGGCCTTTCTGTTTATGTAGCACAAGCTGTAGAAAAATATTTATAATAATATTTAATAATTTGGTGTAAAGTAATACCAATTACTTGGTAAAAATCAGTATCTGGCACCATTCTTGGCTAGCTAGCAGCAGGACCAGAGTCTAAGGCTCATTGTATGCATCAGTTACCCATAAAAGAAGCGAGTCAGGTTCGACCGCATGTTGCTCTTGCGCCACCCTTCTCGGCCCATATCTCAAAACGAGTTTTTCTAACTTTCAAATCCCTAAGGCTCGGCCATTTATGGGCCGATTCTAATAAAACAAAAATTAGGTAGTAGAATAACTGAACATATATATCTCCTTTATATCTGGCTGGTTTATTATTTGCTGACTTATCTTTATAAATATTTGGAGGAAATAGTAAGTTAAGAAAAAAAATTCATATACCCAAAACAAAAGTGATAATCAGAAATATCTATACTGTATATCATGTTCAAGAGGAGCAAATTACCTATACAGTATTCCACACGAATTTCAACGTAATCTTGCAAGAAGTTATGGAAAAATAGGATTTTGAAAATTTATAAAAATATAAGGGAAAAATCAGTTATAAGGGAGTAGGCAGAACCAATTCAGGGGTATAGAAACAATGTATCTGGTGGCCTCAATTGCTGACAGGAAATTGATATTGACTGATCAATTATTAACGAATTTCAAGCTTCAGCCAGACGCTCCCCTAAATAACTATAAGCTTAAGTCACATATGATGAGCACAGCACAGTTCAGTACTGTACATAGTTACAGCTGATCTGTGGGAATTTCAATACTGTATACAGTAACTTACCAGTACTAAATCTGCTCGTTTTTGATGAAATTCTGTTGCAGAAGTAAAGCCTATAGGTACCAGTTTAGCCACTTCTGCCATAATTTTATCTACTTTGGCTTCACTGAATCCTTTAATTCCAAGAATGGCCTTCTTTGGAGCAAAACCCACTGACTCAACAGTGTAGTAGCCAGCCTCCTCTAGTTTCTTTACATCTGCATGGGATATCCCATATTGCTGAGGAAAAAATAAAAGTAATTCAATATACATTTACAGTACTTATGATTTTTTTAAAGATATGGGGAAATAATATATCCTGCACTACAGTATACTGTACAAATTGCAACGCAATCGCCCCCCAGGCCCCGATGTGGGTCAGTGACCTGTGTCCGGGTGGCTAATCCCCGTAAAAAAAAAAAAAAAAACACAACCACTGCTTGCTGTATGCCAGTTTAGAAATCTTTAAAAGTCCTAGGGCGATAGAGCTCAGAAGTGTCAGAATCCTGCAGATCTCCTTGTTTCTTCTACTCTCTTCAACATGACCTGTGGTGGTTCCTCCTCTCCGGCACATTCTCGAGTCACATCACGGCCAGCTAATTTACGCCTAGTCCTCTTATGTGTATTTATTCCCTTTGGTCTATGGACATGCCAGCCTTAGATACAGGCTTAGTGTAACAACTGTGTATCCTGTTTAGTGTACTTTCCCAGTGATCATTTATATACTAGGATACAACACACTTCCTGGCCAGTGGTCATACTAGTGATATGTATGTTATTTCAATTGAATGCCATCACTGTGTTCTTATTCATTTCCTCTTGTACTGTACTGTGATTTATTCAACTTCTTGGGTTCATACAAAGGAGCGTTAGTTACAAGACTAGCGAGGTTATTCTAAAACTACTATATCTTGTGCTTGTGAGACCTCACTTGGATTTTGCAGTTCAGTTCTGGTCACCGTACTACAGAATGGATATCGAATCCCTAGAAAGCATAGAGGAGGATCACATGGCTAATCCTGGGCATTAGGAACCTTGAATATAGAGATAGATTAAAGCATCTAAAAATGCACTCCCTCAAGAGACATAGAGTGAGGGGCAATATAATCAAGGTGTATAATTGGAAGTCAGAGTTAATCAAATGTGATATAACAAAGGTACTTAAATTAGCCAAGCAGGAGCAAACTTTTAGCAATAGTAGTGGATGAGTGAAACAAGTTTCCAAACATCATCATTAACACGAACACACTGGGTAGCTTCAAATACAGGTTGGATGGATATATGAGCGATAGGGGTCAGGTGTAAAAGAGACTGCCCAGTATGGGTCAATTAGCCCCCACCCCCTTTTTTTAAGGGAATTAGCCCACCTGGGCACGGGTCAATGATCAGGGCTACCATTTTTTTTTTATATCCATAATAGATCTTCAAAGATCCTTTTCCACCTTACTAATCCCAATCAAAAATTTCTTTACCTCAAGAGTACTTATAAGTTGTGGTCCTGTCACTCCATCTTCAGTGTTTGACTCCTGCTCATCAACACTACGCTCTTCCATCGTTGCCATGTTTTCTGTAAAAAAAATATATATTCGTTAAAAATGCAAATTTACCTTAGTTTTTTTGCTTTCTTTCTCCCAGTATAAGACTCAACATATAAATAAGTGTTAGCAACTTCTAAACATTAACCCAGTTCTATATTATGTAAAAATTATGACATACAGTACAGTATACTATACAGTATTATTTAGATGGTGTTTACAGTACCTTAAAACTATAAACATTTACAGTCGACAAAACTGTTGAATGTCTGTACATCCTCATCAGAGTACAAACTCCTACATACTGTAACTAAAAAATCGCACTTTAATTTGTCATTCAGACCTACATTCTTTTGGTCAACATACAACAAATTTACCAAAGTTCATCAAAATTATGCCCTTTGCTAAATGCCCAAAACTATGTTTACTCCCGGCAAATACTTGAAGAATTAAATAAACTACTGTACCTGTAGAGCCAGTTGCGGCTACAACTATGAAGGAATTCAAAATGTATAACAACCGGTAATAAGGAGCTTCAACAAAACCAAATGGATAAAATTGCATTTGTTGCCAGCAAATACCTGATCTTTACAAAGTTTGAGAAAAGAAAATGACATGGGTATTAATATTGTTTCAGTCATCCAGAAAATTTTAGTAGGTAAGGATAGGTTAGGTTTGGTGGTAAAATTATCGTTACGATCATCCACCTATTTGTAAGTTGAAATTATGTTTTGCCGATAGTTTCGATATGTTTTGAATGATTCTGACCTTCATTTCTACCACAAATCACTACTTTTGAGCCTCCCCTTTATCCAACAATAATGGGGAACCCCTAGTGGGAACCAGGGGTTTTGGGTGGGCGAAAATCACAAAAAGTAATAATCTGCGGTAAAAATGAAGATCAGAATCATCCAAAACCTAACCTAACCCTAACCGATCCACTTCTGTGCTCATCTTTATTAGACTACTCTTCTTAGACTTGGGAATAACAGTTCTTCTCGGACAGTACCAAAGGTGTTTTTCAGCTTGGTAACTACAAGGCTTGTTACACCTTACACAAGTAACTTCCGTAGGTAGAACACCATGTTCGTGTAAAAATTTCCACACTTCTCCGTCTTTACTGTAATAATCGATTGAAACCTAGGGATGGTTTGGAAGTATAATTGAAATCACAGCCATTGCACAAGGGAGACATCTTGGAAATAAATTCAAATTCAAGCAGGTGGCAGCCAGGGCCTATACCTAGCTGTGATTGGTTGATCCAAAATCATACCCACCAATCAGCCTCCAAAGAACAACTGCACATGCATCAGACTCTAGCACATGCATAAAGCAGCATAGTCCATTGACTGTCTGCAGGTTTCCAATTTTCAACATTAGAGACACAAAGCCTATAAAAAACCAAACATACAACTTCATATCATTTCTTGTGCAAATCAATATCATCGGAGTATCTCACAAATTTCTAGGCATAAATTTCTGTATCCACTATGTTGCCAGAGTCACTTCTCTCCTCCACATCTTTGCAACATAATAACCGATGACCTTCAAGTATCATGCCATGTGACTTGGCTGGCCAATCATTTTGAAGCAGCCTTTCACCACGCAATTTCAAATTTGAAGGCTCGTGATGGCGTGTGATAGGTGTTCTCCCCCTTTTATCAAGCTGTTATTCACTGAATTTATGAGAACGGCAGTGATGCAATCCAACATCAAGACTGTCCTATGTGTGGAAATTGTCTACTTTTAATAAAGGACAGAAATACTATTGTCTGAAACCATGCAGGTAAGCATACCAGATCGCCCAGCTGTATCCTCCACCACAGTAGCAGGTAAGCTTAAAAAAAAAAAAAAAAGTTAGGTCAGGTTAGTTTTTTTTTGTGTGTGTTTTATTGTGTGTTTTACTCAAACCTGACTGCCATTTTGGTGCAAATTAGCGGTTTTGGTTACAATTGAATTGTTTTTTAAACCACTAATTTTCACAAGAAATGAAGGGCAGATTTGAATAAAACACACCATAATACACCAAAAATGCCTTTATTTTTCTCAAAATCTGAGGACAGCCAATGGACGAATTTTTACAGAAACGAACCTTAGAGTTGTCAAAACTACTGGTTCCAAAACTTAAAATCCTAAAATTCACTGGATGACCGAAACGATTAGGTTAGTTAGGTTGCATTTGAGAAGCAGTGCTGTAACCAATTTTTACAGGTTAGGTTAGGATTAGTGGTAATTATTCCTTTTAGCATACCCTCGAATTTGTTCACGAGAAGATTGATTTCTGATCTATCTTGATCAGATCTGACCTTTGTTTCCATGGGAAATGAGTCGTTTTTGAAAAAAGTGTGTCATCCTTGATCAAAAATGGTGATTTTCCACAACAAGTGAAGGTGAGGTCTGAACAAAATACATCCAAATATATCAGAAACCATACATCTAGACCCCTAACTTTCACTAAATTAACCAACGTTAACCCAACCTAACCACACCTAACCCCTGGCAGTGTGACACGCCTCACAGCTCCAAACAGCTCATGGTGGGACAAGAAATGGCGGTGGAGATTTACTGATATAATTTCTTAGGCGTTCCTCACTTGTGCGATTTTTTTGAAAGAAACACGTTTCCAAGAGGAATGTATATATGAGGTGGAAATTGCCTAAAAGTAGGTGCTTCTATGCGATATGAAGATATGCTAAACCAAATAATAACCTGTTGAGTTTAAGTTAGGTTCCAAATAAGTGGATGACCAAAACAATAATTTTACCATGACATGCTCCAAATTTTGAAATGAAGTATCTGTGTAGCAGTAATATTGCAGCTACCTAACTCACAGGCTACATGACCGTACTATTAGGCCATTCAGGTTAGGTTAGTTTTGAGAAGTTTCACCCACTGCAAAACTTGCATTTGTAATGCAAAATGAAAAGTGAAGTGGAATCTATGGTAAAGGTGTAGATAGTGGCTACCACCAGAAGTTGTTTGTAGATTTTCTTTATTTTTGCTGTACTTATTGTTTTGATGACTAAGCATATTAAAAGAAACGACAACTTTCTATTATGATTTTAAGTATTATTTTACATATTTTATTTACTCTATCCCACTCCACAATTCTCCTCCCGGTGCCACTTTTGTTGTTTACCTCGCTGAATCCCTAAATATTAAGGTACGTTGTTTAACACAAATTAATACGATAATGCATAGAACCTAATAGAACCTGACCTAACATACCCCAAGCTATGTTAGGTCAGGTTCTATACATTGTCGTTTCCAATTTTGTGTTTAATATGTTAGTATGTAGAAAATTGTTCAACCGATTTGGACAATTCCTTCTGGAGGTGGCCGTTATCTACACCTTTACCGAATCTATTCCCTAAGAATACAATATCATGGCCAGGCAGTCTATGGGCTATGTAGCCATATCATTGCCACACAGCCACCATGATTTAGAATACCACATACTGTATAGTGTACAACATATAATTGAACTTCGTAATGGACGTAATGTCTTGCACCAAGTTCCTATCTAACATTAGTAGTATACCAGCATTGTCTATGTATACATCTTTTATTACAGTAGTTTCAAAATAATTATAGATCAAACTCAACAAAACTTCTTACTTACTGTTGTATCCTTGACTGACAGAACTTCTTAAGAAAATAGTATTAGATATAATGTATTAGAATAACAAACACGTCATTCGTTTGCTCACGTAACAGAAATATGTTAGTTAAATTGAAATACTGTATAAACTTTACACGGGTTTGTAGCTGACAGAGACGAAGTTGACAAGAGTTTGAAAAGTGTACATGAAAACAAAGAACAAGGAAGGGAATAGAATGGCTGAACCCACTCCTGCCATCTATTGACTGTAGGTAGTTACTGGTATAACTCGCCAGCATAAATTACCGTGACTAGTTTGCTATATTGGTGCTTTTATGTTCGCCTCTAAACATGCCTTTGGTCTTTTCACTGCTCTTTTATTATCATTGGTTAATTATATGTTTTTTTTCATACTTTTTCTTAAATTGGTTGACTGTGGTTGAATTTATTGCATAATAGTAAGGTTGTTCCACGTGTCTACCACTCGCTATGAGAAGTATTTTCTAGTATTTTTAGTGCTTTGTTGCTTATATATTTTTCTACGTTTCTCCTTAGTTCGCTTAAATGTTCTTGAAAGAAATGTGTGCAATTGACATCTTCAACTCCGTTCATTATTTTATATATTTCTCTCTTCCAGTGTACTGTAGTTACCTTCAGCTGGTGTAATCTTTCTTCGTAGGGTAGATTTAATTCGGGGAAAAATATGGTGGCTCTTCTCTGTATTCTTTCTATAGTATTTATATATTTTTAAAAATATGGGGATCTTGTACAGAACATTCTAAATGCGGTCTCAGATAACTTTTATATAGTACTAAGAATGATTCCAGGCACATGTAATCAAAGGAAGATTTGTAGATTTTTGTGTCGCCAGCGAACATTTTGCAAACTGGTCTGACGTCACTTGGCAAGTCGTGAACTTCTATTAATCATATTTGTCCAATCTTCTAAGTTTAAGGTTTCTAATAAATTTGTCCAGTTGCAAATCCATGCCAGTTGGCATTTGTTATTAGTTCATTTTTAATTAAGTGGTCCAACGTAGCTTCCCTTAGAATTTCCTCTATTGTTTTTACTACTACTTGGCCTGAAATTCTTTTTTTTTTCTACTATCTTGTGAACTGCTGTTACTATTGCATTCCTCCAATCATCTGGTAGTTGTCACGAGGGAAAGCAACAACAAAAACAATAATAATAGTAAATAATAATAATAATAATAATAATAATAATAATAATAATAACAATAATAATAATAATAATAATAATAATTATTATTATTATTATTATGATGTAAAATCGCCATACATGTTTACAATAATAATTATTGTAAACATGTATGCTAAACCAATTAGTGGCTTAACTGTCCTACAGCAATACAATAGTATCTGAGACAAAAGGATATAACAAAATGAGATTATAGAATACTGAAACAAGGGTCATTTAGGCAAGTGCAAAATGATAGTACAGTAAATTCCTTATCCATATAGCTATGTAAAAATTAAAAGCATTATATCCCTTAGACATACTTTTAGTACATAAGAACAACACAGAGGCAAACCCCAAGTCCATAATAATGAAAATAATAATAATTATTATTATTAATCTGTAAAATCGTCATACACTCTTACAATATTTGGTTTAAGGTGTATATAGACAATGGAGATACGGGTACAGTATATAGTTTAGCTTTTAGCATATGTATAGACTTTTATTCATTTATTTATTTTTTTACTTTTACTCTCTTCACCAATGATCGGCTCGTTAGCCGCTTGGGCAAGTACCAGACATGTACAGGTACTGGCTCCGGAATGTATCTATACCTGCCCCAGTGTTGGTTAAATCTGGTCTTGATAGAACTCACACTCGGTGCTGTCACAACACTTTCTGGCAGATTGTTCCGGGAATTTAAATTTATCATTCCAAATAATTTTACCCTGACAAATTTTCTGGACTTGTGGCTTCTTCAACCTTAAGGTGCGACCCCAGGTGGGGCGGCCAACCGCCAGCTCCCAGGTATGAACACTCGACAGAGTAGTGTCCTCTGAGGCGTTTATAAACTTCTGGTTATTGAAGCGTTGCAGTGCAGGCATCAGTATGGTCGCCTTCCTTCGGACATTTTCAATCAACTGACAATCTTTAGCATATCTCGGGGACCAGACAGTGTGACAGTATTCCAAACAGGGATACACCTCACTTTTTACAAGACCCACTTTAGTGGCTTGATTTACCTTTTAACAATGATCCGAGCACTTCAATAAAGTAAAAGATCTTTACTTGAAATATCTAACTAAAGCTGGAAGAATCTTAAATTGTGTAAATCATTTGTGTTAACATGCGCTAAAAGGAGGAATAGATTTTTTTTGAAAAATTATAGTTAAAAGTTACCGTACCAACTGCAGAGAGAACTGGCGAGCTAGAAAGCCTTCTTGGGTACAGTGCGTACTCTACGGAAACTTTAGCAGTCTAGACAAATTTATATTTGTTTACAGTAAAAACGTCGCCATTATGATTTTCCTCCTTGTGCATATACTATACATTCCCAAGACGTCTTAAAACACCTTTGTGTACCGTATACAGTATTGTATTCCATATGCCAGTATTTAAACATCGTTTTTAAAAAATTAACTTCAGTGTTTCTTACCTCACAATCTGAAAGTCTTCTAATGAAGTAAATCCACAAGTTGACGGTGTGATGTCTCTCCTAAAACTGAAGTGCCACTGGTGTCCCCCTTATGAGAACAGCCATTTTACAGTACTTGTGTACCAATTTTAGCATTTATAAAGCACACAATGTGTCCCAGTAAAGTTCCTCACTCTACCCACACCTTAATAAAGCAGGTTTATCACGTTTGTGGCCATTGGCCCCTCCGCCACCTTCTTTCTCCTAGTAGTTCGGTCACCACACGATCATTGAACTATACTGTAGAAAATATTGATCAAACTTTATTACACATTGCATTTTGTAATAAAAACATTATTTGGATATTAAAAAAGCTCATCAACATCCGACGAAAACATCAATATAAAAATTTCGTATTTTCTTTAAAATTTGAATGAATTAGTTTATAGGTAAAATTTTGTTTGTTGAATTATCATTAAAGCAGTTAAGTCAGTTCTTTTTTTGAGTTCACGAAATTTTCGTTTACATTGCTATGAATAATTTAGATTTAGATTTCAAAACTACGCGTATAACACATATTATAGATAATGTTCTAAGACCATTCTTTCCTTTTTTTACGAAGCAGTAAACATTCTTCTTAAATACTGTATACATAAATAAGAAAGGTTGGTAGCCCTGGCGCAGATGGTTGTGACGTCATGGTCGACACACGCGACTCGGCAGCGACTGCGGGTCTCCGACTCCGAGCCTTTACAGTTGTTTTGCTGGGCGGGTGTTGGGAGGTGGGGTGCACATGCATTGATTATAGCGTTGTGAGCTAAGCGTGGATTTAGGGATTTAGGAGCAGGATGAAGATTGTGGCAGCGACCCCACCCCCCTCACAACCTGTGAGCGGCCTGAAACTAGGGATCGTACGGCTAGGAAGAGCAGCAGGAAAGGTAAGAGTGAGCTGGGCAGAATATTGAGCGGTGAGAGGTGGGTGGTGGTAGTAGTGCAGTCATGTCTGGTTGGGCGAAACCGTGCATGCCTTCACTGATTGTTGACCTAACACTTAACTCTCAAGGACCTGGGGTTATACATAGACGGTACTGTACAACACCAAGTTTGTTGACATTTAACCAAAATTAAACTGCGGAGGCAATTGGGGCAATTTAGTGTTACCTCGTGAAAAATACTTTTACATATATTACTGAAAACTTATTTCATATGACATCTACGCAATTTATTTAATATGAAATGAAGTAAAGTGATTAGGGCCTTTATCATATCAGCCACATCCTGTCGCCTGCTGACGTGAGGGGGTTAGGTACTCGGCTCATGTTGAGGAAGCCTACTCAGTGTGGTGGCAGGGTAGCCCACGAGGGTCTGCCAGCCCCACACCTCACTCAGGATCTTCCATGCCCCCTGTGACAGCCACATCATTCTCGTGTCGTTCCTACTACAACTGCTTTCATCTTCCTCGTTGCAGCCACAGGTCTCTCCACCCCATTATTCCAGGATTTATTTTCCCTTTATTAACTATTTATTATTTTCACAGATACATAAATAAATGTATATACAGGTACATAATGTACCTGTATATACATTTATTTAATCAATTTTTTCTCATCTACTTTATTCAGTCAATATCTTTCGTCATCCACCATAATCTTTCTTTCCCTTCTGCTTCTCACCTATCAACAAAATCCACCCATCGTCCTTATTACGTGTATCGCATCCATGATCCACCTGTCTGTATATCCATAAATTCCCAACTCGTAGGCTACCCTCATCACGACCTGGTACCGTATTTATTCATCCACTACTACATCTGCCTCTATCTTACGCTCATTAACCCATTAATCACATATGGTTGCATGTTATGAAACCACGTCACCGAAACTGGCCATTCTGTTCCCCTCTAAGCCTTTGCATCTAACGTTGTACCCAATTCTTTGACGTTCGTGTTTCTAACAAGCCCCTCAATCACTCTCGCCATTATTTTAAGTATTGTATTTATCGTTCCTAATACATATCATTGCCCATTCTTTTTAGTACTTGACATTGTTCTATTGCCTATCTTTTTGTCAGTACTGATCATTGTGAAAGTGTTCATAATTTGTTCCAGTACTTTTCGGGTTTATAGTTCGGATCATTGTAAAAGTTCCTCCGTTTTTCTTGAATCGATCATTGTTCTAGTACCTGTTATGGTTTAAGTACTTTTCGTTGTTCTATTGCCGATTATAACTCGTTTCTATCATTGGTCTAGTGTCTAACATCGTACTACCTGTCGCTATCACAGCATCCCACATTGTTCGAGTGCCTGTCACTATCCCAGTGCCTAGTTGCAGTACCTGTCAATCATTATTCCCATATATTGTACAGTATATCATTCTCACGCGCCCCTTTGTCATACCTAATATACCCGTACTATAACAGTTTCATTATCTGTCATTGTCCCACTTTATATTGAGAATAAAAAAATGAATTAATGGAAGTCCAAGAATCGTGGTTCATTTAAATTGGTTTGTGAAAAAACAAATGTTCCGGCACGGCGTTTAGTTGTGGTTATTCTTGCGTCGGGAGGCCGCAGTGCCGAGACAGCTCAGCAAGTCAGCTGATTGCGTGGAGGGGGAGGGGGTGCGCTTTGAAAAGGTCAGAGTGACTTTCAGCCAAGTTATGTTGTGGAAGCCGCCACTGTGTTTCCTTTGTATAACGGAAATCTCGTCTGAGTTCTGTCTTCTTAACGAAATATCAAATATATCGTGTTCATTTTATTCCTTGTTAGTCAGATTTAGCCAAAGGGTAATGTCTTCACATCACACCGTGTACGTGTGTGTGCAAACCTGAAGCTTATCAGTGCGAGTAATCATTCGGTATTGGATGGATTTACATGCAACCTAGTAAGCATTGTTTCCTCTCAAGGCTATTCATGCGCTTCTTGGAGTTTCAGGATCGTTAGCAGTTTGTATTTGAAAGTGGATGCGGGTACGCCAATGCTGCATCAAGCTGCGTAAGGGTGACAGTTATTGTACAAGGTTGATTAACTATCTTTAGAGTTATAATTTTACTTGCATTGCTAATAATCAGGAAGACTTATCTGTCTCAAACACAAAGATGGGCCTTGGATCATAATCGTGTCATCTTTAAGATTGCTGGTGCTAGGTAACCTGCCATGATGTCAGTGGATAAGCCCAACGTTACATCAAACTACTCTGCCACATTCTCAGATATGGGCCGTTGGCTGAAGGAAACCTAAACCAGAAAACCTGGCAACCATGGCGGGTGTGTGAGGACACTGGTGTGGCGCAGATGTTGAGTGTAGCACAGGTGGCGTGGGCCAGCAGGTGGTCGGAGAAGAGTGGCGGGCCTGCTTCCCGCCCGCTAGACACATGTTGTTCCATCCCTGTTCATCCTATGTCATGTGATAGACAAGATATCGTGGGTCAAGGATCCATGTAACCCTAACAAGTACGGTGCCATTGAAATTTTTTTTGTGCAAAAGTAGGTATCATAAATATAAAATGAAATGTATGATTTTTTCCGAAAGCATTAGCAGCAGCAGCCTATTACATTGTTTTATTTGTTTTTAAAACTCTCGTGCGTTTCTTTTCATTTAAAAAGAACACTTAATCCCTATAAAAGAATGAAAAACAGACTTTCTGCTTGGCCCCTATGAAAACAACCTTGCTATATTCCCGCCTTTGCAATCCACGTGGTATTTTGATGGCAGCTTTCCTATCGAACACAAAGAACATTATGGCTACTGTCATTGTAATTCAAATTTGACCTTGATAAATAATGGTGTAGAATAGAATGACATAATTCATCAAAATACTTTGACAATTAGAAAATTCAGACTTGCATTGATGAACTTCATTGTGACCCATATGTAACCGCGGTAGTTACCGTGAGAAAAAAAAACTCAGCCGGCAGCTGCCAGACGTTGCACTGTGGTAGGTCGAAGGACAGCTGATAGCGAGAGGGCGTGTACAGTAGTTTCCTCCCGGGACAAATAGGAATTGACTTTTAATTAATTAACATCACATTACTCCTGCCTGGGCTAGGTCACTTTTGAGTAATGTCAAAATCTTAGTCAACTCTCCGGAGAGGCAGTTTGACTAGTTTCATCGATACTGTCACGATTGTATCAAAAGATAGTAGTTTTGTTAACTTCTGCTCCATAATTCCCTTTCTTATTTTGCATGTATACCTACATCTGGCTTCAAACCAGCATACCATATTCAAGTAGGTTATTATTAGTCCACCCACATCGCTGGTGTATACTTGCACACGTGCCTCGCAACGTTAGTGCACCATTTTCTTTGTTGTACCTCTTTTGTTAGTTGTTTAAGGATAATCGAAGTTGCAAGTACAGTATATTTACATATGCCCTAGTAACACATGCTTATAACAATAGGCCTATATTTTATAATTTTATTGGTATCAATGAAGATACTAAAGGCTAACAGGTATTTAGTAAGGTATTGCAACTTGTGAAGCTGCTGTTAGTTGACGGTGAGGTGAAGAGGGTGAATTATACAGGTATTGGGAGTGTGGCACCTGTCCTCCCGCGACTGTCACAAACTTCTCTTACAGCGTTTGATTACTCTTGAACTTTTTAAGTAATTTGTTGTTTCTGGGACATTATTGTTCCTTATTGTATTGTTTATTTTGTGGCTGCTGCTCGTAAAGGCGTGTTTACATAATTTAAGTTGTTGAGGATAAGAATATCATGTTTGCTAAGCATGTGTACCATCACACACAGGCGCAGACCATGCAAATTGGTTTCCGGATCAAAGAAAAATAATATGTTATATATGAAGCTAGTTATAGTTTCGCGTCTTTGTTGTCTCAGTTATCATAGATGGGTTATCAGTTGACTGATTTATTAAAGGCTACACCTTTCTGAACGTTGCGGGTGAGGTATACGATTGTCCACTCTGTGGTGATTATAGACCCCTATAATATTAGAAGTTCGAAATCTCTTGAATGAAAAACGTAAGGGTTTATGTGTGTGTGTAAAGGGAGAGCCTTTTCATTCTAAATTCAGTGTTGCTAGATATGACAGTTGCCTGTGTTTAACCCCCTTCATTACGGGGTCGCCAATTTTAATATTCTATTTGACGATTTTATTCAGCTTAGAGGTGACACCGTACACAATGGGTTAATTATTTGAACACATTTAAAAAAATACTGTTTTGTTATTCTGTGTTTTTATTTATTATCATTTCCTTAACCATTCATGCTTTAATTTTATTGTTTTCTGCGTCTATTAGTCTTGCATTCCTTTTTAATGGTCATGTTAATGTGCTTGATTTATATATCGTATTGCGGCGTCGGTGAGAATGAAAACAACTGATTGTTATCCACACGTTTTCTCAGATTTATTGACTAATAACACTATTTTAAATCTGCTTTGTATTATGTAGGGGTAATATATCACAGCCACTCGTAGGCAAACCAAATGAAGTCGAAGAAAAATAAGAGCAGTATACTACAGTGAAAACCATTATATACAGTACTACACAACGTCTGGTGCTCTGCCGTGAATAATGCATTTTTCTCTTCATTTCTTTCGTTTCCATCGCGATTTTTAACTCCAACTTTATCAAAGCTCTTTAATCTTTTTCGGGGAAAGTTCCGGCGGAAAGGGAAGACTATAAATCCTGGTCGGGAATGGAGGTCAAAGTCAGGCCTCAGGTGTAACGTGGAGCAATGTAAAGCTTGTTACAACTTGGCGCAGCACCGTCTCACAGCAAGGTTAGCACAGGGCCATTGAAAGGCAGGAGTGACCATTGTAAAGCAAGGGTTAAGTAGAATTATTGTAAATCACTACTTACATAGGACTATTGTAAAGCAAGACTTGATTTATATATTACGGCAAGGGTTACAGTGGTCCAATATGACGTAAGGTTGTATGTAATGTGTAGGATCATCGTAAAGCTAGTATAGGCCT